TTAAAGTTGAATAATAAAATAAATTCTGAGAAGTTATGAATGCTTCAGTTGATGGCTGGAAAAAAACTCATTCCAGAAAATCAAGTCCTGAAGGTTGTATTTTTTTATTTATACAACAGTTTGTATTTAAGAGTTTTAGACGGCCCTAAAAATGAATCTATTTTCTTTTTCATAACAAAAATTTACTTGGCCTATTTTACTGGAACCACCTTTTGTGTTTTGTAATTTATAATACATTATAACTCATTTAATACAATAGTTAATATATTTTCTTATTTTGCCCAAAAAATAAAACAATTGATATATAGTAACCTAATCCGGGCAAAGCAAAGGCAAAAATAAATAACATGAATTTTGTTTGAAATTATATAAAATATTTTTTTTCTCTGCTCTTAGGGCTCATTGGAAAAAACGCCGGATGCGTATCTAATATTTTTCGATGTAGTATCACAAAAAAAAAAAAAAAAAAATGGTTGAAATAGATGACCCATTGACTCTATCCTATCCTTGTAAGTCTTGCAGCCTCATTAAGACCCCCACTTAGTCTCACGGACCATAGCTTGTGATGGAAAATTTCATATTTTCAAAATAGTTTTTAAATTTTTACTATTTAAGCAAAGAAACTTCCGTAGACCGAATCCGGTTTGCTGATTGTAGTTGATAATTATAAACTAGATTATAATAGTTTTTGAATATCATTGAGTCTTGGCAGACATTTTTAAATATCTAATATGTAAATATTGAAATTAATTAACCCACAATTTAATTAAAAATTAAGATCTACCTTCAGTCTCTCCCTGGTAGGGAGAAAGTTTTAGCATTCTTAAGATGTCGATCAAGCCACTACCTGTACACTTACCGAAAGCAGACCCGCTAATTGTCATTGCTTATGACAGGTGTGGGTGAATAAATAAAGTTAATAAAAAAAAAGAAAAAAAAAAAGATGCCATTATGATCAAATTTGCTACATCTAATTAGTTGTATTCTCAAGGTCAAATTAGCTATTAGCATTAGACACTGTAATAACAAAAGGAAATAGTGACCCTGACAAATAATCTGAGCAGAGTTCAAGGAAAAACTGACTCAAAATAAAGTTCTAAGTTATGTTTATTCAATTCTTATGTTATAATAAACATTATTTTATCTGCAGTTTCTTTATTGTCATTACTTTCTAACTTCTTATATAATTTTTATGTTCTATATATCACATATTTTCCGTTCATTAATTGTTAAATTTATGTTTCACTATTTACATGTTGTATATAGTTATGATTGTGTTTAGAAGTTTCTATTTTGTTATTTGTTTACTTTTTTTTTCTTTATATTTACTTTCTTCATCAGAATTATTTATTTACTTTTTATATTTATATTTATTTCTCTATCATTTGTATATATTGTATCAATGAGAACTTTTAGCACTAATACTTATAGCCCTTTAGCAGTGGCTGATTGTATTATTATTCAATAAATAGATTATAAAAAAAAAACTACTAACACGTACTTCTATAATTATTTTAACATTTACTAGTCTAATTATTTCATCACTATTATGCTAGTCTAATTTACGGAATATTTTCAAGCATTATCACACAGTCCACTATCCTTTTATACTACAATTTTTAAAAATGTTACTATATCACAACATTATATAAATAAACATTTAATGCCTTGCCATTATATACATTTTTTATTTATTTTTTCCCTTCCATATTTTGTTATGTTCTTATGAATAAATATATTATATTTGTATTTGCTATTTTTTTTTTGTTAGGTTGTTTTGTCTTTTCTCAGCTCTGACATGTTGGCATAAAATCAATTTTTTTTTCTTAGCGACTGCAACCCCCAACTTATTTTTCTGACATCAACATTTTTTTTTTAACTTCATAATTTTTTTTTTTTTTAATTTGGTGCCTTCTAAATCCTGCTGTCCGGAACAAGTGCTACTTCTAGTTTTGGCCTCGTATCGAGATAACATATATTACAAACATCAACTATCCTAAAGATGGGTCACAAACTCGACTTTAAAGATATGCGAGTAATAACAAAACAAATAATAATTTTAAGTAACTTTTTAAACCTAAAACTGTATCAACCACCCACTACTGCTAAATCAGTATAGTAGAATATTCATATATTTATGAGAATTGTTAAGGAAACAATGCTTCGGCCAGTTATAAACTTGAAATAAAAAAAACTCATTGTTTATCCATGAATTGATAAAAGGAAATAGTGACCCTGACAAATAATCTCAAGGAAAAACAGACTCAAAATAAAGTCCTAAGTTATATTTATTAAATATAATAAAATGACTACATTAAAAAATAAATTTTGTTATTTAATACTAATAACCTTATAATCATCATATACTCTAATGACAACAAAAACCTTCCAGTGAATATTAATAGATAACTTTCATACAATAAAATTCATTAAAACAATAAATCATTAGATAATCTTTAGTTTGCTTGTACTTAAGAATTAAAATATTATTAGTTCATATTTGAGAATTTCTAAAAGGTTAATATTTACTGTACCGAATGGTACTTCTGAGGGGTAGACCAAAGAAAAGGTGGGGAGATTACATTAAAGCCAATCTGAAGGGACTGGGTTTGGACAGCGAATGTTGGACGGAGGCGTGTAATAAGCAATTGGTGGTGTCAGCAACGAACCTTCGGCTTCGTTAAGCCTTTTATTATTATTATTAGTTTATATTTAAAAGTATGACATTAAAACCCTACTCCTAATTTATACTCAGTATGACTGTTAATTTTGTTTTTGTTTATTCTATTTATTCATTTATAATAATTAATTATGATTAATGTTTATTTATTAAATTTTTTTTTCCTTAAGAATTATCTATATTATTTCACTTCAAGTTATATCATCTTTGTAATTGGTAATTGGTTGACTGTCGTGGATAATGAAGAGAAGAATAGTTGGGGTGCTCAGTCAAAAAGGAAGGCAAAAAATAAATTATAATATTTATTTTTTACATATGCCGACGTTTCGACCTGAAGTTCAGGCCTTCATCAGGGCTAAGAAAATAACCAGATAACAAGGTATGAGAAACATAAGTAATGATGGTAAAAAAGATAATAAAAAATGAGAAAATAAAAAAAAATTATTAGAAAAATAAAATAGATAGATATAAAGTAAAATGAAATTGTTAGAATAATGACTAAGAACTAAGAGATAAATAATAAAAACTGTTACATAGTGTGGAATGATGAAGTAGGCATAATCAAAAAGGGGTGACAAAAGTGTTACATTGGGAATCTTAGAATAAAATGTAAAAACATAAAAAAGAAATATAAAGTTATGTAAGAAATGAAAAGAAAATAAATAGTAAAATTAAAACATTGAGAATGGAGTAGTTAGATAGAAAATTGAGATATTGTAGAGTCTATCAAGATATACAGACAATGTATAATATAATAAAGAGTTAAAAACAGAGAAAAGGAATTTTTTTTTTATTTATTTTATTTTCTCATTTTTTATTATCTTAAAATTGGAATTAAAAAAATTAAATGCATAAAAATATAACAAAGGTAAAAACTAATAAAAACAAAGATAATATAATGAAGAGAAGAATAGTTGGGGTGCTCAGTCAAAAAGGAAGGCAAAAAATAAATTATAATATTTATTTTTTACATATGCCGACGTTTCGACCTGAAGTTCAGGCCATCAGGGCTAAGAAAATAACCAGATAACAAGGTATGAGAAACATAAGTAATGATGGTAAAAAATGAGAAAATAAAATAAATAAAAAAAAAAATTCCTTTTCTCTGTTTTTAACTCTTTATTATATTATACATTGTCTGTATATCTTGATAGACTCTACAATATCTCAATTTTCTATCTAACTACTCCATTCTCAATGTTTTAATTTTACTATTTATTTTCTTTTCATTTCTTACATAACTTTATATTTCTTTTTTATGTTTTTACATTTTATTCTAAGATTCCCAATGTAACACTTATGTCACCCCTTTTTGATTATGCCTAGTTCATCATTCCACACTATGTAACAGTTTTTATTATTTATCTCTTAGTTCTTAGTCATTATTCTAACAATTTCATTTTACTTTATATCTATCTATTTTATTTTTCTAATAATTTTTTTTTATTTTCTCATTTTTTATTATCTTTTTTACCATCATTACTTATGTTTCTCATACCTTGTTATCTGGTTATTTTCTTAGCCCTGATGAAGGCCTGAACTTCAGGTCGAAACGTCGGTATATGTAAAAAATAAATATTATAATTTATTTTTTGCCTTCCTTTTTGACTGAGCACCCCAACTATTCTTCTCTTCATTATATTATCTTTGTTTTTACCTTTGTTATATTTTTATGTATTTAATTTCATTTTATTATATTGCAAATATGGTATGAATGTGCCTTACAGCTCGAATACTCAGTACCACAATAAAAATATTTTAAAAAATGTACACTCAAGTAAAATTTGATATATGGAGATATAGATAATATCACAATGAATAGAATAACAATGAAAAATAAATTAAAAGGTATTCGGTCATGAATTAATTAAATAACAGTGTATAAACATTACATAATGCCTAGATTAAGGGAACAATTAAGTTATTTTAAGGTGCTCCAAAATTTTCTTAATTTATAATTATTATTATATTGAACTGCAAGTTAATAATAAACTAAAGTCGAAAACTTCATAAAAAAGTTCAATGTCATTGTCCTTTAAAACTATCCAGACATAATTACTTTATTAAGAAAAAAATATTTTATGAAGATATGAAATTTAAATTTGTTAGAAAAATACAGAATCCATAGAATAAAATTTATCGTTATGGATTACTAAAATAGTTAAAGTAAAATATATTTTATACACTTTAAGTGTCTATCAGTCAAAAAAATGTATTACATTTGAATTTCTTCAAAATATATTGAGAGTCTCATCTTTAATCTAAATATCAATACACATAGTAAATTAATATAGTTACATATAAATATAAAATGGCTTACTGATTTAACTCATTAACATCCAATTAAGAACTACTTATGATGACCAAATAACCTTCTTAACATTAGGCATAACAGGTTGGGAAGGGATAAGAGGAGACAATAGCAATTAATTCCATTTTATAGGCGTAACTTATTCATTGTATTTAATGGTAAACTTTATTTAGAGAAGATCCTGACCAAAAATAATTAAAATAGAATGAGATAAGAATTAAACTTAACGTCATACTCTTATTTATTGTCGAAAAAATAATATAATGTAACAATAATCCTACAGTAAATGAAATATTGCTAATAATATTAAATTTTACAAGTAAATTAAAATTCAAGATAGAACAAGAACATTGAACACATTTTAAATTAAATAAACTTACTTCATGCCAATCAGTATTGAAACGTTCAAAACAATGTTTTGGCCTTTGCTATTATAAGTATACATGTAGGTATATTTTTATTTAACTATTTCCACAAGAGAAGTTGGTTGGGGATAGTAGTCACTTGAAGTACAAAGTAAAAATAAATTGTATTTAATTTATTTTGCCGACATTTAGGCCAAAGTTTCATGCCTGCTCAACAAAAGTCATTGATTAATTGGTAAAATTTATTAGGGCGTTGCTTCCTCTCTACCTAAATTAAAGAAATTTTGTATTTATGCTAGAAGTTTCCTATGTTTTCGTACTAAGAATATAAAATTTCTAATCGTGTTTTACATTACTAACATCAAGGAGGTCTGTCTGTAGTAAAATCTATATGGAGGATATATCCTACTACTTTTCATTCGATTTTTAAGAGACTTTGTGGATTGATTCCTAGATGGCCACATGACAATATCATTAAATTTCGTGCACTACTTCCTCTTGCATACCCACTAACGTATTTTTCTTGATACCCTGTATATAAAAAAAACCGCACCTTCGATTTGGCACAAAGTTTTACAGGAGTTAAGGGTTAGTAAAAAAATGATCAAATTCTACCCACTGCTTTTAAAAGACTTTCACCTACAGATGCGCAAAATTATTTTCCTTTATGGACCTAAATTTTAAAAATGGCTCGTTCAAATTGGTCCGAATTCGGTCCACTATTTTATCAAATTCCATCCACTACTTTTGCAAAATCGTACGTATTTCTTTTTCAAGACTATGTTTCCAAAATAACTTCTCTCATAGGTTTTACTCTGAAACGACGATTCATAGATCTTTAAGTATAAATGATGATTATGAACTCAATAGAAATAGTGAGGAAGCTATACAGATCCTACTTGGCATACATTTTTTTTTGTTTTTTAGCAAGCCAATTTTCGGTAACATTGAGTAACAACACATGTATCGTTGCCGATGAGATGAATGAGAGAGACTCTAGCATACATATAAACGATAATCGTTTCATGTCATCGTTGTCAGCTGTCATGAAGAAAGCGTTCGTATTCTATTTTTTAAGGCATTATTTTACCCAAATTTCAGTGATTTTTAAAAAAAATGTTCTGTTCTTCATAGAGTAGTGATGATGGGGATATATAATATAAAATACTCCAGATAAAGGAAAAAACAGATACAGCGGGTTCGTTGAAGGTTGCATTGCTGCAAAGGAGTTCAGCATGTCTGACTTCGGTTTATTCTCATTTTATAGAATGAAAAAATCGTGCTGTTTTAATATAGTAGAACTTTTAAACCTCCATTGGACGAACAAAAACACAAGTGTTGATTAACTGAAGCCGGATTGCAGGTTCCCTATCATTTTACCAAGCTTGTGACGACCAGGTGTATTACTATCGCACCTTTGACGAATTTATAACGATTCATGAGTAGACTGCTTAACATACTCCGCTGGTAGTGCATACTAAACTTATTCAATAAATAATATCCTGTAGAATTATTCTCGTTCCACATTTGGGCAATTTGCCTTCAGGAAGGCCTTTGTCTTTTTCAACGCCTCTATCTAGTTTTCTAACAGGAGTTTTTAACCAATATTGAAGTATCCCAGGTCTATTTTAGTTTTGCATTTGTACTAGAAATCTTTGTAGTCCCTGTAGTTTTTCTGTTAACTGAGGGAAATCGTTCTCTCAAATTTGTAGAACCTGTTTAATTTTAGTAATTTAGTCCTTTGTGCCTCAAACGTAGTGCAGTTTACAAGTGGTTAGTAGTCCACGGGACGCCCTAGCGAGGGCATCAATGCTGATATCCTTCCAATAGCCGTACTGCTATTACACTAGTACCGCGACTAGCGAAAATTTATGAGACCTAATTGTTCTAATGGACTCTGAGATTTAACGTGTAAAAGCATTATTCACTCTAGGGGATTTAAACAAGCATCGCCAGGCTGGAGGGTGCTATAGTGACGAAATAATAATCACTGCTTCAAGGATCCATTTCAAAGTGGTCTCTTTAGGGTTGTCATCCACCATAACCCTAGGAAATTTATTTTTCTATTATATGAGACTCTTGTCCATTCCTAACTGAAGATTCACAAGACTTGTCAATTTCTCTCTTAAATATATCTTCTCAAAGATCATTCATAGGTTTTGGTGCTGCAGGAGACAGACACACTTTAGTACGCGACTAGTTAATTTATTAGCAAGGGATCTTATGGATGGACTCTCTTGTATGTGGTCTAACTGAGGCCATCCATAGTGAGGGTAACCCTATTTCATAAGTAGTCTAAATTAAATCCTCTTCCAAACGTTATACCAAGGTAAATGACCACCTCTTTTGGTTATTGTCTCGTATCTTGAATGATTATTTTTACAGTATTGGTTTTATCCTTGATTTTACTCTGCATAATAGTCTCTATCATACACTCCTTCCTTCTTTCATATTGGTTCATTCTATCTGCTTCAAGCTGTCTCCAGTATTGTAAATCATCAACATATGTAGTAGCAGCAAAATAAGTAGCACTTGAGTCTTACACTCACAAAACTAATCAGAACTAGGTTATATTATTGTGAGCACTACTGCTACAAGGAACCTTCTGTTTCAAACAAACTCTCTCTTCTATCCTTGATTCACCTGGCTGGGAGATATGTCCATACCTTTTGCTGACTGAATATGATTGGCCACCAAACATTCTCAAAGATAAAGCATGTATCATAAAGCAGCATCAAAGTCTAAAGGCACTTATTGCACAGCATCAGCAGATCCCTTGCCTTTTGTAGAGCTATAATGTACATTATTCTAACAGACAAGTTAATATTAGTTTTCAACGATCATAATTTTGTTACTACTGCAGCTCAAACATTATTTATAAAAGTTATATACCCAGGGAAACCCTTTGCTGAATTATTTCTTATCACACCTGATAAAATTAGATTGAAATAAAGTTTGAAGTAAGAACTTGCTTTTACAACCCGCGGTGGATCTTGGCCTCCTCTACCATTAACCTATGTCTCTCGTCACCACCTTCCAGTTCTGTTGGTATAGTATTGTCTTCATGACAGCGGCCAAACTGTCGATCCAATTCAACCTGGGTATCCGCTCCTCAGCCATGCGTCCTGCCCACCTTGTTGAACCATACTATGTCGATATCTCCGAACAAGGTGTAAAGTTTGTGGTTCTTCCTTCTTCTCTATGCTTCACTGTCTCTAACAGAGCTGTATATTCACCTTAAAAAAATTAGGAGACTCTACTCACCTGCCTTAGTTAGAGAACAGATTTGTGAAGAATAGGTAAGAACTAGCAATATCAGAATGTTATACTGCTGATCATCTTGGTTCCTCTGGTGAACGGAGGGGTTTCATCTGCTTTGTGAGCCCCCCATAGCACTGGTTGGCTGTCATAAACCTCTGGCTGATTTCTAGGAGCATGTTGTTTGACGAGTTGGCAAGTGTTCCCAGATATATAGATTTGGGACCCTTTCATAAGAGAAATTTCCTATTGTGAGTACTGGGATGTTCACTAACATGTATTTGTGTTTCGAGTTTGAAGAAAGTAGCACCATTTAAATTGCGATGTAACTCAATTTTATTATTGAAATTTGAAGGATGGACAATAGTAAAAGTGTCATTACTATGTTGGCTTTAACTATACATATGGTTTCGATCTCAAATAGGTTTTACAGTGAATCATATGTTAATTTGAACTACTAACCAATGCTATCTATATTTAAGATTTATTATGAATAGAATGAATATCTTTGAGACATTAAGATCAAGGGAAAATTGACAGTGGGGTTTGTTGTGGTTGATATAATGTTTTTTATTTCTACAAGTAATTTGTTTGAGTATAATTGTTAACAATTATAATTATTGAGTAAATATACATTAATAGCATCACAATTTAATCAACCTTCCATTTCTATCATCATATGAATGTGTTTGAAACATCTTCAAGTGCATATTAAAAAAAATTATATATCATTGCACGATACATCCTTTAATAAAACATTTAATTGTCACTTTCTTAGGCGTTAAATGCTTCTTCTTTACAGCTTGCTAAATTGGTTTAAGCCATACTGAAAAAAAAAGAAAAGAATCACATCAATTATAATAAATAATAAATCAAAAGAAACATAAACGTTTACTTACAACACTAACGTATGAACTAAAGAATGAAATTTGATATAGATATAAACATTAATTGTTTCGGGTATAATTAAAACATCGTTTAGCTTTCATCAATTGGAATAGGGTAATTGTGTGTTAACAAATGTCTAACTCCCAGACTCTAGTCGGAAAATTTATTTTTCACTATATCGGTTGTTGATTGATTATTCTACATGTATCTGCCATGAAATAAACTTCAAACCACCCAGAACGAATTCGAACTGGTATCAATATAGTCGAGATGTTAAAGTGGGCAACGCTTTGACATCCTCCGTCACACAAAATTTGAAAAAATTAACTATATCACAATCGAAATTGAAAGAACATAGCAAAGTTGAGAGCTCGTAACAACTTTCTCAACTTTTGTATAATTTAGTGTAAATTCTTAAACATAAAAAATTTCTGATTGCTAACTACTCTGTAGAGATTTGATTTCTAACGAACTATCATAAGATAATTATAATATTTTAATTATTCTAATAACTGATGAAAATACCTGTCAATGAGCGAAGCACGCATTGTCGTAGTAATTGTGGCGGGCTGAGCTTCATTTAACTTAAAAACGCTTTCAATTACAGAAATTTCGGTAGATGTGGTATCCAAACCACAAAATGCTGCCCAATCATTTACAACCATCCCAGCTGCGATAACTTCTGATCCTCTATTTATTGTTCCTGCCTGAAAAAGTTATTGCATATAAAATTATTTAGTAATGATTATATAGCTCCATTCCATGTAATAGTTATAATATTATTTTATATCTATATAGATCTTTATCAGTTGTTCTAAAACACTGTAAAAACAAAAATTTACTTTAAAAGCATCAGCAGCATAGCTCTGTCATTGAGGCCCTATTTTTTTAAATAATTTAAATCTATTTCATTTATTAAAAACCAAGTGAAAAGGATTTAAATTGTTACATGCTAACCTGAGAATTGATTAGAATTTTAAAGTGACACAAATTATTATACAAGGGTTTATAATTTTCAAATAGTTATAAATAAAATATGAATGACGTATCCTCACAAACGACTTGTATTACCACAAATGGGAAAATTAGTTTACTAGGATTAAATCGTTCAAAAAGATAATAGGTAATTTGAATAATTCTAAAAAAGGGCATTAATTTATTGAGTTTTGTGCTATAAAACAAAACAAAGGTGATAGAATTTTCATGAGAAGAAGTGCTTATAATTCAAAACCCCATTGTCTACTATAAACGATTAGATTTTAATGTGTTTTTTGTTTTCGTTTAATAGGAAATATTACCTTATAAATGAAAATATACTAAATCATAAAAAAAAAAAAAAAAAAGAAAAAAATGCACGTGTCTCACAAGTCATTTGCCAATAAAAATTTATATTAATCAAAATGTTTTTTTCAGGCATTTTCCGGGGACTTTATAGGGTCTCAAGATTAAGTCTTAAGGGAAGTTTCATTAAAATCATTGCAGTCATCATGAAATGAAATGGTAGTTGGTGATGAGACCCTCCACAGCCACTTCTCCAAAACTATATACATGTTCATGACGTATCATACTATATGTGTTAATAACATGCAATATATGTTCTAAGGGTTCTAAAACGCAATACTGTCTCCTGCTAACGACATTTAATACAACGCAAAACTATCTATTTTTAAAGAAAATAGATAATAAATATTTGAGGAATTGCAGTAGAATGGCAATTCTATCACTAAAAATGCAGGTTTTCAGCTACATTAGTACAAATATACCACCGGTTAATGATACAATATAAATTTAAAAGATAATAGAAACTACAGAAAAATTATCAACAGACTTGACAGACATTCCTCTATCCACACTTTTAATACCAGATCTATTATCCTCTTCCATAAAACCACTTCCTTCAGCAAATCTGTCATTCGTCCTACCTCCTTCTGGAACTCCTTACCCATCTCCATACGTCAAAACACGTCCATAAATTCCTTCAAACACCTATTCAACCACCTACTACAAATTCCACAAGCTTCAAAGAATTTTTAGGTTAAGTAATTACATTGCTAACCAGCAGTTAATCGATGTAATTTTATTTTTATTTATTTGCTTACTTTTTTTTCTCTCAGGATTTACTTTACATTATAATATAAACATTACATAGTAAATTTAATGGGTCAATAGAATTTTAAATAGGGCGTGAAAGCAGTGACATCACAAACTACTGTCAAGAAATGGACAAAGAGGACGAGAAAGATAGACGGAAGGAGAAGCAAGCGCCATATGTTAAGGACAGAAAGTATCCAGCCCGCAAGGAAAGATCATCGAGACCAACAGAGACTGACAGGTAACCAACAAGTAGTGAGTATCTAGACAAGTACAGAAAAATAGAAGATCAAGAGAAGACATTTGTAGAAGTTGAATACAGCAATACCTTTAACAACAATACAGAGGAAGATTCACTGCTGAACAGGATGTATACAAAATAAATCGTGAGTTAAAAAGCGCACCAAGAGTAGACCCCGACAAAACAGAATGGAAATCCATAAATGTTGTATATAAATTTAATGTATATTTTTATATTAGATAATTCAGGAATGTGCGCTTAATTGTCTCAACACAACTTGAAAAATAATTTGTAGTTTTTAAATAATTATTGTGTGAAATAAAATATAATTTGGTTCAGAAACTGTTTGTTTACTTTTCTTAGTATTTTTACTTTCACTTACGTATATATGTATATTGCGATCGAGAAAATTTTTGAATCTGAGTTTTCAACGGAAATACACATTTTGGGGTACCAAAAAACCAAGTCCCAAAAAATGGTCTGTGTGTCTGTGTTAGCAGTATAGCTCCAAAACGAATCTGATATTACTTATTTAAAATAGGTGTAAGCCTTAGATGTGCCATCAACTTTTTCCCTACAAGCGGTTAACCAGAAGAGCCACTCTATATCAACGCTGAAACACATTTTCACAATTTTCTCAAAAACGGCTATAACAATTTTGATAAAACTTGGTGTATCATTGTATAATTAAGTGGTCTTTAATATCATTTAGGTCTTATACCCATTGATGTCACTTTGCAGGGCTTAAATGCCCAATGTTCAAATATGGCTTCCTTAAAGTACCTTAAATATGGTTTATTTTAAATAATTAATCATCTCACATTATTAAAAGTTACGAAAAAATGCTAAATACAACTTTTGAAAGAATTTGATAATTGAATAAAGGAAAAAAAAAATGCTTATCCAGGTCGAAAATCTCCGGAAATACCGGTCAGAACGTATAATATATCGTTAGAAAGTGGATGATTTTAGACAAATACAATATCTAATATAGAAAGTTGTAGAAGGTAACAGAGAATGGCAAAAAAAAAAAAAAAAAATTATAAATAATAATTTTTGAAAATAATATTATTTAACGCAAATCACATATTTTCAAGGAAATTAAATGAAATTTACTTACTAAATGTAAACTTTTAAAATATTTTTAAGTTTGAAAAAAGTATTTAAAAACCACCTAATCGAGGCTATGACATTGTTTAAAAAACTGCGGTCAAATAAATACTAATTTATTTATACTAAATACTAAGTATTTATTTGACCGCAACCCCCAACCAATTCCTTCTCATATTTTTCATTTTCAAAACTCTAAGTCAGGTTCATAAATTACCTGAAACCTACTCGAAGTACATGACTGTCATACTTCACTTCTGTAATTTGCCTTCTTAATTATTTTGGACTATAGGAAAAAATAAATTAATTAAAGAAAAATTATGGTGCAAGACCAATATTGCATAGTATAGTAGGGTTTCTTGTAGTCATATTGAAAATATATCTCGACCTTATCTCTCTCTCTGGGTAGGTAAAATACCACACACTTCTTAGTTTTGGTAAATAAGGATTTTAACTCCCAAATAAACAAATATTGTTATGCCAATAATAAAATAATTATAACTCTATTGTAAGCACTTGAGCAAATGTTCTTAAGTCCAATATTTTAAAACAATTTATAACTTAAATACATAGTTTATATATTAACAAAGCTAACCCTATATTTTCACCTGAAAAATATTTATTACATATTTATATATTTATACAATAGATAAATACTCACAACTAGAGGAACTTGTAATAATGAAGAAAGTTCATCTTGGTCTTGAGAAGAGGTTTGCGGATGAACTAGCCCACCTTGATTTGACAAAACACAATATGATCCAACTAAAAGATTTGAAGCTACAGTTTGTCGAAATACTTCAACATTCAGTGTGTCTGACAAAATTTCTTCAGTTTCCTGAAATAAACTTTAAAATTAGCTTTTTTTTCATGGAAATACGTTACGAACTAGAATAAATAAATGGAGATATACTTTTCATTTAGATGATATACAATAATTTCTTGGACCTAACAAAACAAAGATAGTAATAGTGTCCAGTAAAAAGGTTTTACTTAGACCGTCAACAATAATATAACAGAGTAAGGTACTGGATTGGGTTAAGTTTTACAGTGAAAACTGCGTACAAAGAATTAATAAAAGGCCTTCTTATTACTTCTCAATTCTTAATAACATTTTGGTTAGGTCACCCATTTTCAAAAGCAATTAATTTTTCTATTATTTTATCTTACCTTTTTTATTTGAATGTATGATGCACTGTATTTAAAATGCATCAAACTCTCATGTGAGATATGAATATATAAAACAATAAAACACTTAAACTGCTTTAGAATATGGAAGGCCAGAAACGTTGAGCAAATAAATAGTTAAGAAAAAATATGAGAGTCTTTTACTTATTATTCCTACATTACTTGATAGTCATTCTGAAATAGTAATTTAACTCTATAAATAATTTTAATTTATTTATTATTTTTTTAAGATGAACATAGTGTCAGCAAATGTGTAATATTGGGCAGGTTATTATTTGTAAGTAACAAATGTAATGTTAAAGTATCATAAAGTATTATAAAGGATCATATGAAGAGATTAATATTTTATTTTGTAATAACCAGTCTTACAATTATATTAAATTTGTATTCAAAAATAGAAGGTACTATAAAGTACAACATAATGAACAACCCATAAAATGAGTTAAAATATTCGATAAATATATATTATATGTTAGTTAAACACTAAATTATCTTTATTCAGGACTTAAGTACAATAACGAAGCAATCACATCAGTAGTACAAATCACTACCAAAATTTTGAATTTTCACTGTTCTAAATTTAAAAGAGATAAAACACAACTTACTCGGTCAAGATCAGGATGAACGAGGGCTACATAATCATTGCAGGTAATTACATTTCCTAGGGCTGATAATCTTTCTTCTACCCTTTGTAATTTTACAGAATCGGGTAAAGAATTCCTAAGATGTTGAAGCTCAGTATCTGTTGTTGTATTTGGGACAAGAAGCCCATGTCTATTACCTAAAAACATCAACTATAAACTATCTTATGTCATAAATTACCAATCTATTGTCATTAATCGTATCTTACCAACACACATCCTTCCAATTATTCTACACCCTGCTAGAGAAGCATGAATTACTGGTATAGTTTCTGCTAATTCTGCTTCAAAAACACTAAAATACAATAGAAATTATTAAAGGGTATTGCAAGAATTAAGTACATAATTTCTAGTCCATTACAAGATTAGAAATTAAAGAGAAAAAACAATTTAAAAAATTACATCAAGTACCTACTGATTAATCATAGTAAAATATTTCATGAAATATAAGTAAGCTTGTGTTTATATTGTATTACTTGCAGAAAAAATTGAATAGTTTAAACCTCATGGCATACTTAACTACTGAAATTATAAATTATATATTACCTGTAAAAATTTTCTGAACCGCCAATTGCAACTAAACAGTATGCATTAGTTAATTTACTAAATACTCCAATTTCATTATTATTTTCAAATTGCACTCTAACTGCCATTTTTATATCAAATCAAAACAAGTTTGGTAAAGACAACTAAAGCATTAAAAACATGAATTCAAAAACGGACACAATACCGTGCAACAAAATATAAACACGTGCGAAAACCTACAGGGCATTGAATAGAGCTACTGAAATGTGAGAAAGGAAAAAGAAGGAACTGAAAATGGTGACGTATGATGCTAACTGTTTCAAATCTTGAAGATGGGTGTTTTATTAGTAAAGCTAAGTTTAAGGTCTAAAACAACACGTAATTGATAAAAGTTAGTTAGTAACTATATAATCTTCTGAAATAGAGTATTGAAAATTCTTGAAAAGTATGTTTGATTAAACTTGCGGTTACAGTGGCTAAGACCGACCGATACTGATATCACATTCAGTCCGTTTATCTAAAGAAAGGAGTAGAATGGATTATTGAATTTGATAAAAATTGCATTTTACAGCTAATAAAACTTCACAAAAACAGAAAAAAAACTTATACATGGTCGAAACGTTATAGATGTTTTTTTTTCTGTTTTTGTGAAGTTTTATTAGCTGTAAATTGCAAGTTTTATTAAATTCAATCTGTGACAATTTGTCCCATGGCATTATATTAGGCTTTGAGAAATAACCAAATCTGAATGAATCTGGTTAATCCATGATTATTAATGATCATTGTTGGTAAGTATCTGAGACACGAATCGCGCTCCCGACAAAACTGATTATGTCAAGGACTAATGTCATTCTACATACGGAGCTCAAGAGAGGTACTACGTTGACGTTTCTTCAAATTTTATATTAAGTTAGGTCACAACCACGTTTGGACATATTCTTCTTCTTTATATTCAGAATAATAGGATGGAAAATGGCACTTGTACCACTCAAAAGAATAGCTTTTGAAGCCAATCATCGTCAACTTCTTTCTCGCACCATTTTCTTTCCAAGTTGGAGCATCGTTTGCCGGCTAAGGCCACAGCTGCTACTCCTCGAGCGTCTCCAATATTTCATCAAAAACCAGTGTCCCCAAGGCGCGCATAGGATAGAACCACCTGAATAACTCCTCTTTATAGTGTCTTCTACAACGTAGTTGTTATCTCGAGTCTTCAACATCCGCTCTAGGAGGTAACTGGCTACCAAAGCAAATAACTTGTTGTGGATTTTGTAATTTTGATTTATTGCACGCACGGTCACCACACGCTATCAAAGACTGAGGTTATACTAAAAAGGAGAACCATAACTTTGCTCTCCATCCTCATTTTATTATCACGTCACACTCTCAATGTATCATATGGATTGTTTTGCATTGCAGGTTTTCTGCAAGTTGCTTGTTCTTGCCTCTTCCCTTGTGTCGAATCTGCAATAACATTTTTTTTTATAGTAGATTTCTCCTATCTAGGCAATTGTTAGAGGCAATTGTCTATCCTGTATGAAGGGAATTCAGAATACTATTAATACTATTCTTGAGCTTTGTCGAGGGTTTCTCTCCGAACAGCTGATTAGAATCAGTGACATCCAACTGTTCACGAATTCTTTAATTGAAATGACAAGGTAGATCATGTTTTCTAATCTCGAAATAAATAGTTTATAACAACCATACATAAATTCTTTGTAATACTATAAATATAAATTGTAACGCTGTACCATTGCTAATACTGGTTAGATTACGATGAATTTTATTTTTGATTTGTAAGAAATTTAATTATTTTTCAAAAGAAAATTTATACTATGTGAGTTAGGCCCCAAAACATTTTTCAATGTTTATAACTTTTTTTCTCTTAATTTTCTCGAAAAAACACTTCATTTACGAAAATTGTAAGGTCTTGAAGTGAAGTAGTAGATTATGGGTAAGTTCAATCAAAATCGTTGTTAAAGCCGTGTTCTAAAAGTCTATGGAAAAATAAGTTTCTTTCTTATTATACAGTCCGTATCGGTAATCAAAATGCTACAAAACAAAAAAAGAAGCAACAAAAGCGGTCGTTCAATATTGGCACTGATAGACAGACCAATGGCTGAAAATGTGTTTTTCGGATTCAAGAGACTCCGAAATATAAAGATTCATTGAAAAGCGCATTGCAATACTTTCCTTATCTATTAACTATAGGAAATTAAAAAAAAAGATAATATTTTATCATTGTCAATTAAATTATCAAAGGTTTAATAGAATCCATGATAATGTTCTCCTGGGTGATGTCATTCCGCACTATCTTCATTCTTTTGGCTAATCCTTAGGTGCTTTAGTTTTATCTCTCTTATCACGTGATATCTGTTCTATTATTTGCGAAGGATTAACTTCACCATTAATTCCACAGATGGCTGCAGGAGCGAGATAGCGGGTTTCTCTTCGAACAGCTGTTTAGAACCGGCGCTGTCCACGAATTCTCGAAAGCCGGTTCTATTGAAAAAATAAGGTAGATCATGTTTTATAATCTTTGAAACGTTTTGATTTATCCTAGAGAGAGCATTTGTTTGAATAAAATAGTGATTCAATCGCATCACATTTGCCATTTATGTTATTTTAGATGACTTCCTGTCATTTCAGAATATGAACACCACATACATTTATGCTGCCTTAAATTTAGTAATTGCACTAATCAACTTCAATTCATTTTTATATGAATGGACTCATTGTTCATCATTTTGATTACTAAACATCAAATGTACCAGGCTGCATATTCCATGATGTATGCTTATTATTCACAGATATATAATTAATGTAATATCTTGCTGAAATAATTTTTATTTTGAATTGCAATAATTTCAGTGTTGTGGCGTAGAATACTGGGGAATGGGAGAGAGAGACTGGCGACCTTTTGTTTACGGTGGTCTGGCCTCCTGCATTGCAGAGTTGGGTAGAGTGCATCATGATTGTAATGTTATTTAGTATTTATAAATTTGTTGTTTATTATGAATTCGTTTTTCAGGCACGTTTCCTATTGATACTACTAAAACTCGTTTACAAGTTCAAGGTCAAAAGTGTGATAAAAAATGCGCTTCTTTAAATTATCGTGGAATGACTGATGCATTTTTAAAAATTTCTAAACAAGAAGGTTTCATTGCATTATATTCTGGGTATGTTTAATAAGTTTCTAATCGTGAGTGTCAGATTTTTTTTTTTGCTTGTTCGATTATTTTATTTGGTTTAGCTAGACATGACTTTTTATTATATGGGAATAGATGTTCTGTACCATTTTTTCAGATTAGTAATTTTTGGTCCCTCCATGGTTAAAGGATGTTCTTTAACTATTTAATTTCCTCTAACAACCATCTATTTAATTCTATCAATCTATTTCATTATCTATTCTAGTAGCTGTCATAATAAATGACTACTTGCTACTAATAAATCACACCTTTTTTTTTTTGTTCACTAATTCTTGATAAAAATAATAATTATTATTTTTCTACATTTTGTTTATTTACCAGAATAACACCAACCCTATGTGTATTTTGTACATATTTAAGTTCACATTCAAGAGGTATATTTGTAGGATAATAGTATTTTAATAATTTAAAATATCAATTACTTATTTTGTATTTTTAAAATACTGTGTATTTTAATTACAAATTTTTAAAATTATTTACTGAATAATTATTTAAATTAAAAATAACTTTTATTGTTACATTATGTAATGTATGACATAACTTTATAAAACGTACTCAGTTAGGTAATTTATTTGTTTGTTTTCAATACAAAATGAAATATATTTTTTTTTGTATTTGTATAATAATATAAATTTGCAAACAATATATCTTAGATTTACCTTTTTAGGAAGTGAAGTATAAAAAATGTATTCTATTTAATATTTTAATATATTTCATTTTAAATCCTGTCCATACCTGCATTGTTGGATCAATAACTGTTTTTTAAGAAAGAAGGATAAAGATTATCTTATGTAGTCATTAATGTTTATTGACAGCAAACCACTCTAAATTGTTGCTATTCTATGCTTTTGTATATATTTTTTTTCTGTACTTATGATTTCAATTATTCTTTTATAGTATTTTGCTACTAAATCTTACCATGTAATGTGCCTATTTCGTTCCAATTATTTTTTCTAATTTAAAAAAAAATCACCTCAATTACTCTTAGCCTTGTGTATTTTGCATACTTCTTATTTTTTTGTTTTAATTACCACAAATTTAATAAATACAAAAAAAATTGTCTATGCCTATTGTTATGTTTGCATTACTGTTTTGTTTATATTACCATTATCTCCTGTTTATATTCCATCTCTTTTTTTTTTTCTCTTATCATTTCTATTATATGTAATTTTGTGTTTTTTAAATTTTTAGCCCTGATAATGACACACATGCTTGGGTAAAAATGTCGCCAAACTTAATAAACATTATTATTTTCTGCAAATCCTGACTATTTACCATTCTTAACAGTCAACTATATCTCCATCTCCAAGTTGTTAAGAGATGTTTTTTAAAATTGTTGCTGACATTCCCGCTTTATTTGGAAGCTATTCTTTTCTTATTTTTTTTTTAATAATTAAATAAAATCACTGAAAAAAATATCTCACTAAATGTTTAAATTATAAACTAATTAAAAAGAACATTTTTTTAATCTTTAGATTCATTATGAGTTGAGTAAAAAAACTTAATATTTTCTTCATAGGTGTCATAAATTGATGTAACAGCGACAGTTTCTCCAATCTTTCCTGTAATGAAAGATTTTAAATTTTTTTGATAGTTAGATTGAATGTTTATTTTCGCGTTCGACATTCCACCCTGCATCGATACCCCATATACAAGGAGCAAGCTTCTCGATAAGAATCAAAACTCCTAGTTACATACTCAGTTCATAATACTGGAATTGCTTCGTGTAGAAGCATCGGATTATTCTTTAATGTCTCTAAAAGGAAAACATTAAAACTATGCGGTCATCCAGAATTTGAGAAAACTCTTTATTTGTAGATTTTGCATGTATGAGATCAGGAGGATGTCCAATTTCCGCAAATTTATTTTCTGGAAAGTCATAGTTTTATAAGTCATTAAATAACTTTTTAAGAAGGATGAGAAAGCAGATTTTAATGCTAGTAAAGGTTGGGTTGATAATTTAAAAAGCAGTATTTTAATTTTTATTTCGCTGGAAGATTTCTCTACACCCATTGTCATAGAAACAACATGAAGTTAATACTTGATTGGAGTAGGCGAATGGATACAATGTCGACTAACAAAGCCTGATAATTTTAAGGGATTTGTGAGATGAGGTGTTTTCTTTAACAAAAAAATCAGAGACCCAATATAAATTATATGATCATTTTCAGAAACCATTTTTTAGTTTGCAATGTATTTATATTTAGTGTATATTTTTATTACCTTGTTCGGATTATCATAACTGTCCTATATTTATTATTATTGCCACATTTTTTTCATACTTTCCTCTATTTTTAGCTTTCTTTCAAATTTACATCAAGTATGCATGGCATTAAGTGTGATTATTAGTTTAAAGTACAATATATATTTATGTTTTTGCCGTTTTTTTTTAAATTTATAATATTTATTTTATTTTAGAATCTCTCCTGCTGTTTTAAGACAAGCCACCTATGGAACTATTAAATTTGGATCTTATTATTCATTAAAACAATTTTTTGAGAATGGGGAAGAAAGTGTTCGGACTAATATATGCTGTGCAGTTGTTGCCGGAATGGTTTCTAGTGCAATAGCAAATCCCACAGATGTTTTGAAGGTTTCATTATTAATAAAGCTGTAATAGCTATGGTGCTATTATATTACTTTTTTCTTTTACTTACTTAATGTTATATTCTTAATCTTATTAATCCTCAATATAGGTCAGAATGCAAGTTCTCGGAATGGATAATAATAGGCTGGGATTGTTTGCATGTTTTAAAGATATTTATAAACTTGAAGGCATATCTGGTTTATGGAGGGTAGATTTTATTTTATTTTTATTTAAAATATTTTTATATACATGTTTATGGTATTATATTTATATCTTATTTATTTATAATTTTAGGGCGTTGGACCTACTTCACAGAGAGCTGCTGTTATCGCTGCTGTCGAACTGCCTATTTATGATTTTTGTAAACATACCTTGAAATCAAAAATAGGAGATTCTGTTTCTAATCATTTCATGTTAGTAAAAATTATTCTTTCATTTTTGTTATTTTTTGCTTTCATATATTGGGCCATTCTTCTCTAAAGTGTCAAACACTGTCCGAAATATATTGCAACTTCTCATTTATATTTGGTATTAAAAAGAAATACAACAATAAAGTAGAAAACTTTTTCTATATTCGACATCAGTTAATAATATAATTACATAACTCTAATTTAAATTATTATTATAATTGTGGATGGAAGGTTGACTGTAGTGAATAATTGAAGAGAAGATTGGTTGGAATATTCAGTAAAAAAAAATGTATGAATAAATAAATTACATTTATTTTTATTTTTGCTGATGTTTCGGCTCTAAGTTCAGGACTAAGAAAACACCGGATCACAATGGGTATGAGAAACTATTATATAGTTTACAGATAACAATATTATACAATTATAATACTATATAATAGTATAATACTATATAATAATTTCTCATACTAATTTTCTTATAGTTTATAATACTGTGTAATAGTTTTCAGTAACAACATTTACAATATATACAATTATAATTGTGTATAAACTATTTTTTGTACTATATTCCCAAGATTATAGCATTTACAATATATACAAATATACAATAATTGTGTATGAATATTTATATATTCGTATACAATGAGACAATCAATTAGTAAAAAACAATTATGCTATATTGGTACTTTTTTTTATAAAACTTCTGGGTCAGTAATTTGTCGAAACACTATCAAGTGAAACAAAAAATCGAAATCAAACCTCTTAATTTCTTATTTTGACGGCTAATTAATGAAATATCTAAATTAATTTCTGAATTTTCCTTGGTATTCAAATTTTGAGATATTTCAGTCCAAATGTTCAAAACAATCATTATTCTGATTTTTGGTGCACTCTCTTTTCCTTTCTGACTCTTTAACTCGGCGTGATGTCAAAATACAATTTTGAATTAAACTTCATTACAAAGAGGATGAAATGCTGAAATTTTCCCTTGCTTTTAGCAGGGGTGCCCATTCCCTCAAAGGCTGATGACACATAAACCTTCCCTCCCCTCTTCAAAGATATTTTATTCCTCGCTTCTTCTTAAAAACAGTGCAAAAGAAAGTAGAATTTAAATATTCATAGATTATATACAATTACACATCTTTTCATTTTGAGAATTCTGTACTCTCTCAAAAATTGAAAACCCTGTCAAAAAGTAACCCGTTCATAAATTTTTATGACGCAACTTGTGCCATAAAACCAACTTCTGGGTACCCCTGGCTTATTGTATATAGGTCTGAATTTTAAAAGGTTATAAGTTATGAAAGTAACAGGTTATAGGTTCTGAAACCTACCAATCTGTTTAATCAATAGTTTATACTAAAAACATCTGTAAATCCAGAATATTTAAATCATTCGTCATTAATACGGCTGTAAAAAGAAAAGTGAGGCATTTAAAAATTTAGTTTTTCATTCAGTTCATCTATTTAGACCATGTTGATTTCTTTATTTATTGGTTTATATAGTTTGTTAAAAATATGAAATCAATCCTTCAAAAAAGAGAAATCATGAGATTCGTCATTCATTTAGCTGTTAGTTTTTACTTGTTTGTGAACAATTGACTATCAATGAGGAATAAATACAAACATTTCAAAACATTCTATTCAAGCAAATAAAAGCAATATTAGAAAATATTTAAAGGGTGTGCTTGAAGTATACTTGAAGATCAAGAATTCTGCTCGAGTATTTTGTATTGTGAAAAATGTAAGGAATATGCTTTAAAAAACAGCCAATCATCAGATATTTTCCATTTTTATTTAGCAAAAATTGTATAACGAGGAAGATAAGCATACCAACAAAAAAAAAAACAACTTTGAGAAATAATGTGATATTATTATGAATATAATTCAATATTATAATTTTCTAGTCACATCCTTCGGGTTTGGTGCCATTTTCTCATAATTTATCATATGTCTATTTTAGGCCAAAGGTCACCAAAAAAAACAAAAAAAACAAAACAGTTTTTTTATCTCCTGTATGCTTTATTCAACGTTTCGGCTTCAGGAGCCATTTTCAAGAACCTGCAAAACTAATTTTAATTTATTTTTTACCATTCAAATACAGCCTCAGATGTATTTGATTGTGGGTGTTAAATAATATGTGTCTGAGGCTGTATTTGAATGGTAAAAAATAAATTGAAATTAGTTTTGCAGGTTCTTGAAAATGGCTCCTGAAGCTGAAACGTTGAATAAAGCATACAGGAGATAAAAAAACTGTTTTTTTTGTTGTTTTTTTTGTGACCTTTGGCCTGAAAGACATATGATAAATCAATATTATAATTTTGTAATTCATGATATATATATATATATATATATATATATATATATATATATTTTTTTTTTTTTTTGTATAAAAAAGGTTAATGTTTTATAAAATTACTATATATATATATATATATATATATATATATATTTATATATGTGTATATAGTAATTTTATAAAACATTAGTCTTTTTTTATTCCTTTTATGTGTGCACATGTAAATAAATGTACTCATATTTTTACACAAATATTGTACTCATGAATTATTATTATTATTTGTTGTTTTATAGATCCAGCTTCATAGCCAGTTTAGGAACGGCAATCGCATCAACACCTTTAGATGTTATAAGGGTAATATGATCACATTGATAGTACAATAACACCATTTTTTTAATATTCTTAGGCAATCCACCGTTTAATTATTAAATATATTATTAGTTTTATATGAAGTTTTTATATGACGAAGAGGGCATACCAAAGTTTCATATGCATAATTTGTGCAGAGGATTGGCAGTAGAAGAGGCAAAACCTCAACCACATAAAGAGGTTAAGTAGGGACTGGGAAGAGTGGCTGCGCTAGATACAGGCTCACGAACACTAGAAATGGCATGAGAGGAAGATCCCCATCCATAGCTTTAGCTTGTTCACTGCTGAAGTGGTTTAAAGTCGTGAATTAGGTTGTTGTGAAAATAATGAAATCCTGCTCGTAACTAGTGATTTACTCAAAAATTTTCAGTTTATATCTATTATATAAAAAAGTTTTTAGTGTTTGTTATATTTTATTTTTAGAAGAGTAAGAGGTTACAGGAGCTCTTCTGTTAGCTTTCTAATTTACACTAACTACACAGATCTTCATTTAATTATATATTTGTTGAGTTCCTGTGACCTAATGCTTTCCTAATACAAAATTAAGATTTTAGACTAAAAATTTGTATGAGAAATAATATTTATTCATCGGGAGGTGGTAGTTTGATTTTACCTAGGGGACAGCAGTTATTTTTCAATCTAGACATTTCCCCTTGAATATAATGTATTAACCATTACATTATATATAATATTAGTTATGCTTTATTCTGATATAATTATAATTATTATGAAATAAAAGGCTATAATTATTTTTAGGGTTATATGAAGTTGGACAAGTTGAATATATATTACTGTTACAAATTGGCAATAAGGCACGATGTATAACTTAGATTTTGTGGTTTTGTTCAGTTTATTTCATGTTGATAAAAAATAATACTAAACTACTATATACATATTAATAAACTACTATACTAAACTTCAGAATACATGAAAATTAAAGCTATACAAATTGAGCGACGAGTATTACAATCAAATGAACAGTTGTATAATTTGTAAAATGGAGGTTGGTCCCCTTTTAGGACAGAGGGGGTACCTCACTAGTATTATTTTAATATTATTTTTTTTTTACAGACACGCCTTATGAATCAAAGAAAATTTATCATCACTGATAGGAAGTCCAGTAATCTTTATAAGGGGAGTTTGGATTGTTTAATTCAGGTAAAACATTTTATTTTTGTTTTAACATTATTTATTAATGTTCCCAAATTAAAAGGAATTATCTGTTAAGTATTCAGTTAGTTTTAGTTCATTTATTCTCACATGTATAACTGAACATATAATTGAATTTAAACGTGATGACCGAGCATATTAAAGAGTAAACTATAACATTCCCGAGTCTAGTGATATCAATTCTAACATGACCTGGAGGAGTCGAAATTTATTTTGAGGCAGACCAACTGAATGAATCTCTACCTTCCCACTCTGGTTAGAGCAGGTTAAGTTGTACCTCTACAACAAACCACCCATATACCAGAAATTGCAAAGTAGGGCATTATTGAAAGTAAAAAATATATATATAATTGAATTTAAAAATGTTTTTGAAAACTGAAATTAAAGTAATAAATGATCTTTTTAACTTTTTGGTTGATTCTTGTTTAATCATTATTTCCCTGTTTTTAATATTATCTTTTTTTAGTTTTTATTTAACAATTATATCTATACTAAAAAAAAAATGTTAATTGAAGATTAAGTCTGTGGTACAGACCTCTTTTTATCAAATTATTAACATCCGCATAAAAGTTCATGAATGACTTCATCATATCGGAACCTATAAATTTTTTATCTACAAAAAATATCAGAAATAGGGCATTTTATCATTAATTTAATTAGGTACTAAAACTTATGAATACCTCTTTTCTTTTCCCTTGTATCATAAGATAATTTGGCCTCAAAATATAAAAAAGGTGGCATACAAAAATATTAGGCCATTAGGCCTATATAACCTCACAATTTTGACTCGGGAGATAGAAATAATGCCAAATGGTTCAATATTTTTGTAGGCTACCTTTATTCTCGATTTTGTAATGCAAATGAGGGTTCATGAGTTTTTAGTTACTAATTAAATAGACAAAGATTGTCGAACTACAAATTGAAAACACCCATATTCCGAGAATCATCGTAAATAAAAAAGTTGTAGGTTACGATGAAATGAAGTTACTCACAAAGTTGTAGGCGGGTGTTAATAATTTGATAAAACACGATCTGTACCACAGTATATTTCTTATTCAATTATGGGTTGAAAAAAACAACAACTCATACTTGCCAGTGAATTAATTATCACTACAAATTAAAAAAATCTATACTAAAATATTTAGTTTATTGTTTAGTATAATTTAATTATAGGTGAACAAGTTTAATGTTTATGTTTATCAAATTTTGTTTCAGACAGTGAAAAATGAAGGAATAATGGCACTTTACAAAGGATTCATCCCCACCTGGATTCGAATGGGACCTTGGAACATAATATTTTTCGTTACATTTGAACAATTAAAAAAAATATTTTGAATAAAAAAAAAATGAAAAATAAATAAAGCGTGTTGTATAAATTTTATTTTATTTTTCCTGTTTCCTTTATAATTAACAACAATACCATAGATATTACAGCTAAGTATATTTAAGTCTTTATTTTTCTAAATGAAGTTTTACAATACTTCAAGAATATGAAGGAACATATTTGAATGCAAATTGATATATTAAATAATTAATATAATATATACAATATTATTATCTTAAAGAGGTTTCATACATTCAATTTAAATTTAAATAACATTCATACATGTTTAGGAATAAAGACCAAGTGAATTTTTAAAGAAAAATAATCGCTAATGTCTTATAAGTGCCATTGTGAATAGCTTTTTATTACTACACAAATAAAAAAATTCTGCTAGATTAAATAACTGAATAAGAAAATATAGTGAGTTATTCCTAATTCACATTTAAAGTATGTTGTTATAAATTAGAAACGGAATTATTAAAAATCAAATACAGAATCACTGATTTTGTAAGAATTTTTAATGAAGTAAATTGATTATGTTTTCCTTGAACATTAATAATCAATGTTATTAAAATATTAAATGAATTGCGCTGAAATTTAATTTATTGGCCTTAAAAAAAGACCAGATCTATTCACAGTACAGTTCTTGATAACCATAACCAAATTACTTATCAACTGGAACCATTAGACCTGTATTCAGGCATGTAAGTGGGTGATAAGGCTTTTCCTCTGTGATTAAATATGTAAAAAGATGGTAAGTTCTTCTGCGTTTCCCATGTTCTCGATTCTAATTCCACAGTCGCTCTGATTTCTTTAAATTCACCAGCAATGTGTATAACACCGTACATGGTTAGGAATAAACTAATGATTCCTTGAATGATAATCTGTGAAAGAGAAAATAATGAATTAGATTTTATTAATTAAAAAAACATAAATTAACTTCAATATATTTATAAAAACTTACATCAGAAGGTAGTGAAGTAAATTCTTGTCCAGTTATCCTCAGGTAGCTTCGATCTATCATGAAATAAAAACATTATTTACATTTCTACATATAATAAACAATACTATTTTATTAATACTTACGTTGTGCAGCAGAATAAGCAGCATGTAATAATGAAAATAATCCCAAAAACGTAATTGCCCTGTAGTAAGAACTGGCCATTTCAACTGGGTGATTTGCTTTGTTATCATAACCTTCCCGGGGGAGGTTAACTGTTGTCTAAATGTTTTCATTCTGAATTGATTACGTTACTGTTATTCCGTAATCCACAGTATTATTATTACAAATAGGATTAATTTATTACATTTTTGAATTGGCTAGTCAACGATGATGACTCCTACTGGAGTTATTCAACCTCAGGATGCAAAATACATCAAAAGGTATGAAATTAGACTTTAGTGATGACATTATTAATATAGATGTCATTAACTCCCTTATTTAAACAGGAGAGTGAAGTCAGGTGCAATAGATGTCCATCCTACAGAAACAGCTCTAATTGTTAACTATGAAGTAGAAGCTATTATATTAGGTGAAGCAGAGAATCCAGTATTAAGTGACAAAAAGGTTTCTACAATTCAATAAATTCACGATTTATAACTGTATATAAATTGATATTACAAAAGATTTCCTTTTTCCTTTTAGAACTGTCAGAAAATAATCAGGTTGAAAAGTTTGAATAAAAATTCTGACTGTGCTGCACTTGCAAAAGAGGTTGTAAATAAGTGTTCATTGATTCATCCCTCTAAAATAGCCGATGTTGAACATTTGATTTATTTTCTTCAAAGTCGGAAAGAGAATGTTTTTACCGGTAATAAACTGTGTACTTTAATTGGAATTTAGTTTTGATTTTAAAGTGACTTATTTAATTTTTATGTTCTCATATTAGATGGCATGCTTAACATTGCTCCAAGCAGCTGTTTTGATTCCTCTCAGAGTAGTTCTAGCTCTTCTGGAGAAAAAGCAACTTTTGCCAATTTTGAGCAATATGTGGAATTGTTATACGAAGACTTGAATGATAAAGTTAAGGGTGCTGGTTTAATAATGCAATTAAGTCGTGAAAATGACAATTTGGAAGAATTAGCAAGGAACGGTATGGTATTAATTTGTGATACTTAGTGTTACTAGTTACATTACTTGCTAATATTATTTGTTGGTACCACTTACGAATTGCTACTCCCAGATGGCAGCTGAGTTCAAGATAATATTTAGCACACTTTAATTGGAACCGTGCAACAACATGGGTGTGTCCCAAAAGTAGATGTAGATGACCTATCCCTAATCCTTATTAGAATGTTAATGTTAGGTTAGATCTGCTAAAGACCCCATCGCAATTACTTCATGTATATTAAAAGTTATTTATATATATTACTAACTGCATGAGCAGACTTATCGAAATGTTTGTCAAAACTTTCAAACTTGTCAAAACTGGGAAATAAATATTGAATCGAACCTATATTTTTTGTTACCAACGCATGATAATCATCATTTACTGTACTATTTTGGATTATTTATCACAATAACTATGAATAACATACAATAATTATGGTATTTAGGAATTAATAATAGTGATTAAATTTAAAAGTCCTGCAATAAAAATGAAATTTTTGTATTAAATGGATTTGTTTGTATCCTACATTATATATTAAGTAATAAATATAATTATACAGTCGACTCAATATTTTCGAAAATTCCAACATATCAGCTGTTAACTTCAGTAAATTAAGCAAAAAAAGTATGTGAAGCATGTAACTGCCTTGTTACTGACCCAAAACCTCATTTTTTGATTCACTTCAGAAAATTTGTTGAATCTATAAATAAGTTTTTAAAGACATTTACTGTTGAAATGAGGGACGACATTACCGTAGAAGATATATTATAGATAGGCAATGTTGAAAAATTAAATCAAGTATATTATTTTATAAAAGGATGTTCAATAAACTGGTAAGTAGTCTAATTAATCAATATAGAAAAATGTTAATGAATATTTACATTGTTATTTATTTAATACCTATAAAATATTTATGAAAAAAAAAATTATATTTATTGTTTCTACTTCGTTATGAGTTATATTTAATACTATGAATTTTGGTAATATTAATGAAGAGAAGAATAGTTGGGGTGGTCAGTCAAAAAGGAAGGCAAAAATAAATGATAATATTTATTTTTACATGTGCCGACGTTTCGACCTGAAGTTCAGGCCTTCATCAGGGCTAAGAAAATAACTTTTTGACTGACCACCCCAACTATTCTTCTCTTCATTATCCACGACAGTCAACCAATTACCAATTTTGGCAATATTATTTTTGAACACAGAACTAGACTCAAAATTTAATATTTTTCATAACATCTAAGTATTTATTTGTACAGACATGTTTTTGGCAAATAAAACAACAAAAAAAAAAGACGGTAAATTGAAAAAAATGCTGTATATAGCTCGATAACGCAAAATCCTTTTTGTAACAAGAGGGGGAGAGAACGTTCTATTATTCAAACTAGACTACTTCGCCTTTGTATAATTCCGAAATTTTCCTTGTAATATTTTTTTTACATGAGGCTATGTTTAAAATTTATGTAAGCTCATACATGTTTTCAAAAATATAATAAAAACTGTTAATAGTTTTAATTTTTTTTTTCCTCCTGATAACTCCTTGATAATAATAGATCCTTGGATTTCAAATTATCGAGAGTCGGCTGTATATATATTATAATAGAATTTGTTTTCCTTTATCATGAAAAAGCACTCTTTCTTTCAAAATGTATTAGGACTTTCTGTATTTTTATGTGAACATGATAGTTAATACTTGACTACTTTTGGCATTTCTTATGATTTCATTTAAAGTGTATAAAGGTGATCTCGAAATAAGCCATATCTTGGGGTAGAACTTCGAATCTAATACCGAATCAATATAAAATTGTTTAAAATTTCTTTATAAATTTACATTCACATTATGTGATATTGATTCATAAATTTTGTCTTGATTACTTCTATGCATTAATTTTATATACATTTTGCCATTGTTTTATTTTATTTTGTAGAAGCAGTTTTAAGTGCGCTTGCTAGGCTTTTAAGGGAAGATTATAAACGAAGTATAGACCTAAGTATTAATATTGTATCTATTTTCCATTCCTTTTCTTCATTTACTCAGTTCCATCCTTTGATATTGCAGTATAAGGTAACTTAATAGTTATTCTATGTTATTAATAAATTAATCGGTAATGAAAATTATCTTATTTTTTTAATTTTCTTATAGATAGGTTCATTGTGCATAGTTATTATTGAGTTTGAGTTACAAAGATACCAACAATGGAAGGGCGAAATGCTTATTAATCGAGGACGAGAGGCTATTCCAACATCACGGTTACCCGTCCCAAAATCTGCTCGACCAAGTACTGTATCGGCTGACAGGAGAAGGTCTTCTACTCCATCACCTGCTATAGCGAGTTCTGGAGATAGAAAGAGGCTTTCTTTAATTCCAGGTACTTAAAAAAAGCTTTATTTTTCCTTTTTATCTGAAAAGTTTTTCCTTTTATTTTATGGAGGTATATATGATTTAATAAAATCCTTGGATATACAGTTGTTGTAAATAAATATTCATCCATCAGTTGTGGAATACATTAAATTCTTATTATATTCTTTGTAAAGTAAACAGTACCATAGTTTTATTAGTGATAATGATAGGAAACTCTATGTTATTCAAGTTTCTTTCGTATTATAATTAAATTAAATTCAGTTCTAGTAATACAATCATACATATTTTTTACAGGCCCAAAAACAGCTGTTTCCCAAAGAAGTCCCAGTACACCAGATGAAGAGTCTGCACAGAAAAAATTTGCATTAATGGTTGCGAAACAGGACAGGCTTTTAAAAGGTACTCTAAAATACATATTTCAGTTATTTTGACCATATTTTTGTCCATGGTGAATTGATGAAACAATCTGGTCTTAACAGCATTATAAATATCTTCATAAGGATAGTTTTCTTGAACTGTTGACCAAATATGTATTTTGAAGCCAGTTTTTGGATACAGATATTCCGGCTGGAATCATACTACATCATATTCTCCTTCACTGCCAAGCATACAATGAATATAGACAAAAATTCCTCCATAACTTCATCTCAGAATCTTCTGATAACCACAACATTGAAACTATATTGAATATCGACTGTATAGATAAAGTAAACAAAGTTTACTATTATATGATGGGAGTACACAAAGTACATTCACAAAATTGTTGTTCATAGCCCATGTTATATTAATTGTTTATTTTTAGTTGATGTAAAAAGTAATATTTTGTTTGTATATATACATATTTTTATTTTTTATTGTTCTATCATAGTAACAGGTTCATTTAACTATCATTATGCAGTAATCGTTTTATGTTTTTAACTTTTATTGTTTTTCATGCTTTGTAAAACCCATTATAAACGGAAAATATTGTAAAGTTTATTTATATTTAAATGATATGTAATGGTATGTAAATTAGTAAAACCATATTATTGTACAATAGCCAAGCTAGGCTCTATTTGTATGGAGAACCCCCCAAAAACAAATAAAATATCTATCTATCTATATTCCGGCTGGAACATTTAACGATTCTCCATTTATTTTTTCCGAACAGGGTGTTATGTTTCTCTAGGAACCTGGTGGTCCAAGACTTCAGACATTCAAAGTCTTCTTTTCCGGCAAAAAAAGCCAATTCACAGCTTTTTCCAGCAGAATCATGGAAGTTATTAGAATGTTTTGGGTTCTTTGAATCTTAATCCATTTAAAAATTGAGTCTTTTAGTTCATTATGTTGGTTGCTTCTAAATTGTTTTTGAAAGTCATCTTTTTCAAATGTTTCTTTGATTTTCAGATTGTCGATATTGTAGATTGAAAAATGCGAAGCGTCAACATCAAGTTTTTGATTATTTCTTCTTTCTCAATTCGATTTACGATTTTCACTTTTTTCTTCAAAAGAAAACTTGCATTGTTTTTGTTCGAAGTATCTTTCAATGAAATTTTAACTCTGTCATGATACTTATAGAAGTTAACTAAAGACTAATGAAACTAAGAATATTATGCATTGAATTAAGGAGGGAAGAGTTCAAAGGAAATTCAGAAAGAAAAAATTAAATTGTTCCTAACTTGTATAAAATAAATAAATGGAGTACTTTATCGAGGATATGTTTAGTCTTAAATAGTAGAGAATTAAAGGCTAAACATTTTTTTAATAATTATTTCTAAATACTAAATGTTTTTTTAAAAAAATAGTATTTTTAATTGTTACGCCAACGTTTCGACCCGTCTTGCAGGTCTTCATCAGAGTGGCATGTGGCACTAGTAGCAGTTTAGCAGGAAGCAATTGATAGAGGTCTATCAACTACTTCCTGCAGTGCCACATGCCACGCCCTGATGAAGACCTGCAAGGTGGGGTCAGCGTAGCAATGAAAAATACTATTTTTTTAAAAATTTAGGATTTATTTAATCACACCCCCTGACCAAATCCTTCTCATATTATATCATGGTCAACCATCTCTACATAATTATTTCTAAAGATAAATAAAAAAGACTCATAGTGCTTGTAAAGAATAAACAAGAACCATATATTTTAAAAAACATTTCTATAATTTTTGTATTTTCCATCTGTTCTAAACGACTGTATTCAATTTTGTGTCTGCATATACATATATGTAATTATACCTGGGAAAACAAATTCTTAAAGTTTATATTATTGTTTTATTTAGATTTTTGTTATATCTTACATTTTCAATTTAGATTACTTTGTTCATTTTTGAATAGCAAATCAAACTAGACATGGATTTATCATTGTTATATCCGAAATTTTTTTAAAAGGATTTCACTGTATCATTAATTTTTTTTGTATGTTAAAGATTTTCATTTTATAATTATTAATTTTTTTTTCAGTAAACTTCCTCTTACTATTAAAAATTGCTGAAAATCTCAAAGTAGAAGATAAAATAAGGAAACGAAACATAGTCTCAATGCTTGTGCAGTGTTTGGATAGAAACAACATTCCACTTTTGATTGTCGTTACCAAATTCTTAACAAAATTATCTATCAGAATAGAAAATAAGGACGAAATGGTAAGATTTTTTTTAAATTGTCGTTATTTTAGAACATTAAACAATTGAAGATAGTTTTGGCCAGCATGATTTTAATAGAAGAAATAGGAAAAGAAAGGCCATTGCCTCACAAATAATCAAAACAGCACATTTAACAATTTGGTTTAAAAGAAAATGGCTAGTACTAGATATTAATTTATAAGGCAGTGAATTCTGCAAACAAACTTGTTGAATGTTGAATTGGCTAATTAGGAATATACTTATATTTTCATTTCATTTAGCAGGCATTAGCTGCTATTTATATTTAAAAAAAAAAAAAACTTGCGAAATTAGCCAATGCCACAAGTTTGAATTAAAGATCAAGTAACTGAAACTATAAACTTATTATGGTAAATATATTGTTCTAAATAGACTTAGAAGAAAAACAAAAAAATTAGAGTTGTCATTTTAAAATTACTTTTATATATATTTATTTCAGTTACCTATTTTCATAATTCTATTAAATCATAATAATTTTTTTTCTCTTGAGTTTTAATAATGATAAAAATATTTAATCTTTTAAAAAGTTCATTTTATTTTCCTAATGTTTACAGAAAGTTTTCTAATAGTTTATAAAAATGAATGTACTTTTATACATGTCTTGTTAAACTTATTTAGTACCTTAAATTAAACTCATTTAATTTTTTTGAAGCTTTAATCCAGTTTTAATTTTTTAACTATCAAAATTTAATTATAAGATGATTGATGGTTGACCGTTGTATATTTTTAACAGATCTAATTAAAAAAAAAATAGGTACTTACAAATATTTCTATTTCTATTTCTTTTAAGTCTTATTATTTTTCCTTTTTCTTTTAATCTTTCCTTGAGATTTTATGTCCGCCACCCTGGACTATCTCCTTACTCAAAATTTAGTTATTTATATATAAATAATATTGTAATAATTATTTTACAGGCTAATTTAAATGTTGTGGAAAATCTTCCCAAACTTTTGCAAATGAATAATTTTGAACTAGAACAATCTACATTGCATCTTCTCTTCAATCTTTCTTTTGATTCGAAATTAAGAGATAAGATGATTAGAGTTGGTTTTCTACAAAAATTAACAAGTCTATTGAGTAAGTATTTATAAATATTTCTTATTTAATTTTATTTTAAAATCATCTATACTTTTGGGAATTATGTGATTATTTAGGTACTAGTTATGAATCACTACTTCAGTACGTGGAATGGGGTTCAAGATCGCATGGGTTTGACTGTAGATGTGTATAAAATGTAGTTGATAACACTGGTCCCGAACTCTTTAGAACAAAAATATGTTATAAGGACACGCCTGTCATTCTATGTGAACATGATTGTTAATGCTTGGCTCTGTTTGGTTTTCATTCATAAATCTGCTCGATGTGATCTTGTAAACCACCTCCATCTTGAAGTAGCAATTAGTGTTATTGAATGAGAAATGCTTTATTAAATATGCATAAATTTTAAATTTCCAAAATACACAGAACATTTATACGGCCTGATTATTTGTCTGCCAGAAACTGTTAATGGTAAAACAAACAAAAAATTAGTAATAAACTAATTAAGTTAAAGAAAACTGCATTAAAAAAAACAATATTATTATTTGTTAATATTGTTGAATTTATTGAAGTGAACACTTCTTTAGGCACGTTTACACTTTTTTGTGGAGAGAGAATTAGATTGAGCCGTCAGATTTCCGATGTGTAACGCTTGGGTAAAGTCGGCTGGAGTCGACTAATTGAAGTGTTTTTGCATAGGGATTAAAATATCTCAAAATATCGGACCTACATACTGTAAGCGAGGGAATAGTTCAGCATTTCATCCTCTCTGTAATGGGCTATTATTTAAAATTAAATCTTCATGCAACGTCCGTTGTGTTAGAGAGACAAAATTGTGTCGAAAACCAAATTATAACAAGTTTTATTGAAGATATGGATTAAAATATCTCAGAAACTAAAAATCAGACCTGCATACTGTAAGCAAGGGAAATTTTCAGCATTTCATCCTCTTTGTAATGGGCTGTTATTCAAAATTGTATATTGACGTGACACCGTATTAGAGAGGTAAAAAAGGAAAAATATAGTGTCAAAAACCAAATCAGAACGAATTCTATTCCATAAATATTCTCATATTAAATATGACGAATTATACTAAAGTAATAATAACTAGTAGGCCCGTGCGAAAAATTCGCACAGCATATTGTTATCAAATTCCAGATTAATAAGAAATAAAAATGCAACATATCAAAAGATAAAGAAATCAAATGTTACTTTATCGATAAATATAATCGACAAAGAAAACCAAAATTAATTTAAATATTCATTTTTTTTTGGAACCAACATGTTTACAAATTTCAGTAAGCTGTATCTTTGCTAAAAATTGTTCGATTTCAATGGTTTTTTTTCCTTTTGTAGGGAATTTAGTAATCTTTTATATAATCACGGGCATAATCAAGGGGAAAGTGTGTAATTTTTTAGTTATTCGCAAATAAAGTTTGTTTTCTTTCATAACTTGTTTTCCTGAATTTTTTGGGTGATTGGACTATTTTGCCCGTCTGAAGGAGAAGGAAGTCTTCGAAATTGCTGGCTCAATCTTGAGATTTGGTAAAGAATTAACGATGATATGGCTTGCCGATCGAAAACACCATCGATAAATAATATGAACTCCTCTATCGATCATAGAGACCTCAAATCGACGAAATGAGACATGTATTCAATGACAGTACTACAATTAATGTAAGGTTGTGTGGATGCGAACCCTATCTCGAAAATAGTACGTCTTTGGGCTTAAAAACGCAGGACCTGATAGTTCCGCAGGAACTATCCGGGTCTTGCTGTACGCATCAAAATCTTCAAAATCCAATTTGTCCTGTATCGATCTACAGACCTACCACCATTCAAGTATTGAAGCCTAGCAAAATGTTTGTATCGACTTTATTTATTTTAGAAAGAAAAACAAAAGTGGAGAATATGATTCGCTAACCATCCGTGAAATTCTGAATCCAACGGTACCCCATTCATGGTATTTGAGTATGACAGGAGCTTACATTTGGTATAAAACCGATTTCGAGCCTTACTGTAATAATATATGTACGGATATATGATCATCACATATTTTAGTTATCATAAACCTATTGTTTCATTTTTAGATTATGGTATGGTACTGACTTAGTATGATCAGTCGGAGCAAAGTTTACTTGAGTAATTTAAACACAATTGTCATTGTATATATTGTAATTGATATTATTTTTTGAATATAGAATAAAAAAATATATTTCATATTATTAAGTCCGCCTTGTTGATGTTTTCACTTCTATCATGTGGCCTTAAGCACTCACCGTAGATTTTTCTTTTTTTTAGTTAATAAAAATTAAAAAGCTTTTAACTGTATGATTATGTTTTAATGTTACATTTTGTTTAGTATTAAAACATTATTGAATAGACTAGTCATATTGTAAGATCTATGAAAACGTCATTCGGTTTATCATTATAGGATATTTCTATTAATCAAACTCTAATAATTATTTTAATTTCAAAAATTATTTTATAGAATAATAGTTTAGTCTGGCTGATTGGGATGTAATAATCCCTAGCTAATTTTTTAAACTGAAACTGACATGTGTTTCAGCAAATTTCACAAAAATCCATTTACAAACTACCATATTCCACCAGTATATTTATTTACTTCTTAATTTTTCATTAATGTACTGTGATTTGGTTTTTGCTATGATATTGTTTAGAAAATTTTGGTTTGACTCAAAAATATAATTTGATTTGACAACCCTATCTAAGTTCATAAGTTGAAAAATTAGATCTTTGTATACATTATGTAGTATTGAAAATAAAATTGAGCTAAAGGAAAAGGTGAATTTATGAAGAAAAATGGCAAAATATTTTTAATGATAATTTTATCTATTTATTAATTTACTTTGTTATTTTAAATTTATTATGTTACAGATGATGAAAGACATATTCGTTCCATCTTGAAAATTCTCTACCATCTGAGCATGGATGATAGAGTTAAAGCCATGTTCACATTTACTGATTGTTTGCCTAAGGTATGATTGTTATTCTGCTTATTATGTAATATATATGTCTATTATTTTCAATGTAATAATAATAATAATAATAATGCTTTATTTATTCTGGGACGAGTCCCTTTAGAATAATACAGAGAGACAAAATGTGGGCTAGGAGCCTCAGAGATACATAACAAGATATAGTTTGATTAAATAGTAAAAAAAAAAAAAAATAAAAAAATATTTAGAGAAATTATAAGTTACTTTCTGATTTACATCAGTTAATAATAAAAAATAAAAAATTGAAAATAAATATGAAGTAAAAATAATAAAGAACGATATAATAATTTATATACATATTTACAGTAGTAACTATTTACAATTTTATGAGGACTGGATGGATAAGAAATGATTAAACAGTTGGGATTTAAAGGTAGAAGGTTTTGGATTGACAGATGTAATTAAATTATGTAATAGTGTATTTTGTATTCATAATAACTTAAAAATATATCACAAATATTTTGGTTCATTTTTTAAATTATCTAGGACAAAAAATTTTCAGAATTTGTTTTTTATTTTTTAAAATTTATTTAATGAAATTTACAACTGTATAAACAATACAACTATTAAAAATGCACACATTAGAAATCATGACATGAACAGACTTGAAGAGATACTGCCCGGTGGTAGCATTCCATATTTAATTCTTGGTGAGAAGATCACGAGGCCATCTTCTTTTCAGACACCTAGGGGGATTATCAGGAATCAAAGAAGAAGCAAGGCTGGAAACAATTGGAAGGATTTGTTTTATTTTAATTGTTAGTGTTTTGACCCAAGCTTGAGGGTATATTATTGGGGCTAAAATTATTTTTAAAAAATACTTAAAATTATACCAGAAACCATATATCATATAGAACAGAAATAAGGCAAGAGGAAAAGATAAATAGTACACATAAATCAGTTAAATAGATAGTAAAATTTAATAAATAAGAAGCATGTGCCAAACAACTGTGGATATAGTCACCAGTACAAACATTTTAGACCTTAATTTAAACTGGAATAAAATAAATTTAGAAAGTCACTTAATCTCCAAACAACTGTTAGATGGTATACTTTGAAGCTAAAAAGATTCAAGCCACTGTTGAGCAAATTTTATTCAAATATGAAATTAATGAAGATGGGTTATCTTTTAAATAATGATTAATTTATTGAATATTTATTGAAAAGCAAACTGTTTATAGTGTTACTTTATTTATTATTCTAAAGAGAACAATGTAATTTAAACTTAATTAATACTTATCTTTTCAAATGAAATCAAGTTATCTTTTCTCTTGTTGCTTGTGTGTAATTAAATATACCTAGAAAACTTGAAATATCATGACAATGTACATATATTTATATTTTCTCTTTTGGTTTTTACAGCTGATGAAAATGCTTATATCCACTGATCCAAAAAGTTTTGAATACATGACTCTTGTTGCCTTAACTGTGAATGTTGGATTGAATCCTCGTTGCGCAGAAACTATGTGTGAATCAGGCGTTCTTCATCAGCTGGAGCAACGAGCCTTGGCATATCAGGACTCGTTTCTGATGAAAGTAATTAGGAATCTTTCGAAACATCGCACAACGCATAAATATTTTCTGGTGAGTATTATTATCAATAAAAAGGTATTTTAGATGTTTTGATGACAAGTGACATTCTCGAGCCTAGTGAATCTGGTTCGAATCTAGTCTGGGAGCATTACAATTTATTTCTTGGTGGTCCCATGAAATAAATCTTTGCCTTACCTCTCTGGTTAGAATAGGTTTGGTTGCATCTATAGAACAATAGTATGCCAGAACTTACCAGAAGGTTATTTGGAAAAAAAAGATAAGTGAGTTCGGGGTTTGCTCACTGTGAGAAACAAAAATAAATGAATAAAAACTTTTATGTTTATTCCTCACTGCGGCTGTGATTCCCCAACTATCTTCTCATCCATATTATCTACAGCCAACTGTGTATTTTTTATTTGTCACTATTAACAACTTACTTTACTTATAGTTTATGATGTTTCTGTTTTATGGTTTCATTTAAATACAAATTTTATCTAGCAAAGTGTACTGACATACTATCTGATCAATACACCAGAAATTATTCATGTGAAAACAACTAGATATATGTAAAATGAAAAAAATTATAAAAATATTTAAAAAAAAATAATGTTTTTTTATCATTTTTATTCTGAGTACCTGCGTTTTCCATATAAAAATTCTGGTTTCATATTTATATACCTAGTACATCTAAATTTCTATACATTTTCCAATTTTTTAAAAAATAATTAAATAATTATTTTTCCCCTGTTCGGGCGCCAAAGTCTAATATTTTAAAAATACTTAAATTAATATTTCTTGTTCTATCATTTTTTATTTAAATTTTATAGAATTGAATTTTTTAAATTATGATGATAGCTTATAGTTTCAGTGCTGTGAATATTTTTGAATCTGATAAACGAAGTCGGTCATTTAATAATATATTTAGAATTAAGAATAAAATACATAATATTATTTAATGATTAAATTATTAAATAAAACAAGATACTGTTCATTGGTTTTCTTGATGAATTCTTGATAGTTCTTTTCTTATCAACAAAAAGAACCCAACACAAAATAGATGTGTGCACTGTAATATAAGGAGATATAATGCTTGAATATGAAAAAGGATGAGGAAAAATGAGTTTCTTAGAATAAATGAATATTCTATTACTAATTATTCAAGTGGATATTTCATTATATTTATTGTAATTATTTTATTATTATTTTAACTAATTTTCAGGGATTCGTTGATGACTTAATTCAAGTACTTCCTAGTTGCTCTCATGAAGAATTTTTATTAGAAACTACAGGAACACTCGCTAATTTGCCCCTTCATGAAATTGACATCTGCGACCTTTCTAAAAAGCATGGCCTTCTACAATGGATTGAAAACTCAATGAATTCTCGTGAGTTAAAAATAACATTTCTTTTTTCATATTAAAATAAAGTAATTGTTATAGAAACAAAATAACAGACGATTGATATAATGCCTTGGAGCAGTTGTATTTTCATATTTTTATTATCTTAATCTTAATACCAACTTAAATGTAGATCTCTTGTTGCCTTAACAAACTTCTTCCATCTCTGCCTGTCTTGGGCTATTGCTTTCCATTTGTCATCACGTAGCTCTGTTGCATCTTTGTTGATTCTATCCATCCATCTGCTTTTTGATCTTCCACATAGTCTTTTGCCTTCTATTGAGGCATTCGTTGTTACATAGAGGCTTGCAGATGGATTGCTACGAGCTGCATGCCTTGCCCAACTTAACCTCTGTGCCTTCATATCATGGAATATTGATGGACCAGTTCCTGTAAGCAGTTCTTTATTGGTTTTTCTTCTCCATGTGTTAGTACTCTGATCCCAGATCGCTCCGGTTATAATGCGGAGGATTTTTCTCTCAAATCTTCCAATGCTTTTTTCTAGGGTGCTATTTAGTGTCCAGGCCTCACAGCCATATATCAGAACTGATTTTATCATAGCATTGTACACCCTTAGTTTGAGATTTTTCGGGATTTCAGTACCTTTGAGAGAGAGAAGAAAGCTCTGTTTGCTCTGGTGATATGCTGATCTATTTCTGCGTGTTGGTCATTCATTGTATATTGGTATAATAAATATATTTAGTTATAAATTATATATTTTTATAATTTGTGCCCACAGACATATTGGTCAGGACAAATTATCATTAAATAGAAAAATGTCAGGGACTTTTACTTTAAGTGTCTGGTAGCCCCACTGTGAAAGCCAGGTAATGATTTTATTAGTATTTGTTGTTATACATAACAAAAAATGTCCATGTTATGATGTTCATGTTTTTGTGTTTATTTACTTTATTCTAGTTATTAGTAGTATAAATAATCACACCTCTCATCAACTGTATTTTTCAGATAAAAAAGAAGATGATTTCCTCCTCGAGGTAGCCATGCTCGTGGGCTCCATGGCAGCCGATGAGAAGTGTTCTCAACTATTCTGTGATAATGGCATTGTACTAGCTCTGATTGAATTGCTCAAAAGTAATATTTTAAAAGAAATATATTTTACTTGTCTGAATTTAGCCAATAATTTGTTTAATTTATATTTTTATATGAGAAGGAGTTAGTCGAGGGTGCGGTCAAATAAATAAAAAAAAAAAATTAAAATATATTAATTATTTTAATTTTTGCCGACGTTTCGACCCACTTTGCAGGTCGTCTTCAGGGCTACAAAAGATACAAAACATGTTGAAAATAAAAAATGAATATAAGTATATATAAAATACGAAGAAGTTGTTAGATACAGAAATAAAAGATGGTATCAGAGATATAGTGGGTGACAATGTAGTTAGTTCTTTATCATCATAACCTTGTTTTTACATTTATTCTTATATTTTAAAGTATTCTTTTAAAATTATTGTTTTCTTATAGAATTATTTATACTTAGTAATCTATCCCAACAATATTACACTAATGTTACCCTATTAATCTTTCAATTTCTTCACTTCTTAACCTTTAGTCCCGTTATCTGTTTATTTACAATTAAAGGTAACCTCCACTTGCTTGTTATCCACTGATATCTTATTATTATGTTATCTTATCCATATTTTAACTTTACTGTAACAATAGTTATTCAATTTTCAATCTATTTATTCGTTAACATTCATTTATTCGTTAACATTCATGTATTTATTTTCTTTATCTGTTAACCCACAGTTATCTAATGTAATCTCTATTAGTTTGTTATACACTTATTCCTTATCTTTTATCGCAATCTGTTTACTTTTAACTTACATGCTATATTCTCCTTTATTTTTATTTTTATTCCTACTTATTTTCCATTTATTTGTATCTTCTACATATATAATTCTTAATATTTAACTACATTGTCACCCACTATATCTCTGATACCATCTTTTATTTCTGTATCTGACAACTTCTTCTTATTTTATATATACTTATATTTATTTTTTATTTTCAACATGTTTTGTATCTTTTGTAGCCCTGAAGACGACCTGCAAAGTGGATCGAAACGTCGGCAAAAATTAAAATAATTAATATATTTTAATTTTTTTTTATTTATTTATTTGACCGCACCCTCGACTAACTCCTTCTCATATTATATCAACAGTCAACCATCTCTACATCATTATATTTTTATAGTCATACAATATATATATATATATTATATTATCTGTAATATCCTTTCTTTTCTTAAATAAAAACATGTAAATATTTTGATTAGCATATAAAATCAAATTTCAGTTACTTATACATGTAATATACATTAAACGAAAGTATTGGGTTGGCAAACAAGTCCTTTCGGGTTTTCTGTTTATTTTTATGTCACTATGATACACTTTTTATCTGATGAATTAATCCCTAAGGTGGATTGTTTATCCTGTTTGTAATATGTCAACAACTATATCTGTTAACTCTTGTTGAAACTAGCTTAGTATTGTGTTTGCTATTGCACTGTGAATATGGAAGAAAATATCATTCATTATCGGCATATTTTGTTGTATTATTTTAAAAAAGGTAAGCGTACTGCAGAAGCTCATAGAAAAATTTGCAGTGTTTATGGGGATGATGTCTTAACTGAACGCACCTGTCAAAATTGGTTTGCCAAATTTCATTCAGGAAATTTTGACATCAATGATGCTCAACGGTCTGGTCGCCCACATGAAATTGAAACGAGCAATGTTAAGGCCATTGTTGATCAAAATCCCACCCAATCAGTGCGAGAGATTGCTATGGCCATAAATGTGTCGCACACAAGCGTAGAAAACCATTTGCACAAGCTCGGCTATGTTTCCAGGCTTAATGTTTGGGTCCTTCACATGATTTTTTTAAAAAAATAACAAAAAATGTTATAACTTCATTAGACTTCTACAAGAATCTAGCAGAAATTTAGGGCCACATAAACTACTCAAAATTATATCAACTGTACCTTCGTTAACATACTATAATCGGAGATAAATAATAAAAACTTATAAGAAGTTTTTTTTTATTTATTCCTAATGTAGGCATTAAATCAAAAAAACATTCGTACGGGTTTGAAGAGCAATAGTTCATGGGGAACATCCTGAAGAGTCATGAATGATCGGAAGCGTATTGTGTTCCATCAAGATAACGCTAGGCTCCTCACTTCATTGGTCCCTCGCAATAAATTATTGAGCCTTGGATGGGACCTTTTGCCTCAGCCTCCCTATTCACCAGACCTAGCTCCAAGTGACTACTACCACTTTTCTGGTCTCTGCCGAACTCTATGATTGGAAAGAAATTCCAAAAGGAAGAGGACATCAAAAACCATTTGGATCAGTTTTTTAACAATAAACTCCAGACATTCTATGAACATGGCATTATGCAATTAGTGGAAAGATGGGAAAAAGTCATAATAAATAATTGTCATGTCTATAGGGTCAAAGAGCAAGGCCCAAAAAACGACCCTATCGCAGGCGAACTTTTGATTGTAAATGATGGAAGTGTATGTTATTCTGCATTAAAAGAACCTTGTTTGCTGTTCCAGAGCTGCTGCTTTAAAAAATGGCGGCTCATTTAAAGAATATTAGGCCAGTAATTTGAGGATCGAAATGGGAAATCCATTACGAAAAATGTGAGAAAAGTTGTTATCTTTTTAACTTGTATGTATGGGTTTAGACATTTAAAAAATAAAATTGCTAACATTAGCCACCAAGGAAAAACTTTTTACAGCCAAAAAAGTCAGATTTTTTGGATATTTTTTTACCCATAACTTCTAAATGCTAAAAAGCTAAAAAATGTACTATTTTAACAAATCAAAGAACATTAAATTTTTGACTTTACATTGTAAAGTCAGATTCAAAATTGTTCACGATTGCAATTCGTAATCTTACCATATAGTTTATATGTAGGTGAATAAAAGGAATAAGGAACAAATAAAATACTTATAATTAATGATTTTTCTCTACGTGTGATAACCATGTCAGTATTGTTAGTACAAAAACCGTATGTAAAGATTGAATTTTTTTACAGAAGAAAAAAATTATTATTTCTTTATGATTTATTAGTATAATTTTATATTTTATTATTTTTTAATTTCCTAAAGTTATTCAATTTTTTATTGCAGGGAAACAAGAAGATGATGAAATAGTATTACAAATAATATATGTATTTTACCAAGTTTCAAGACATACCGAAACACGGTCTTATTTGATTCATAAAACTCGTATGTATATTTTAATTGAAATATGTATATTCCAATTTCTTAAAAAAATATTATTTAATTAAATTAATTTTTTGTTTTCAGAGGCTGTTGATTATCTCATTGATCTCATGAATGATAAAAATGTTGAAATTAGGAAAGTATGCGATGCCTGTATTGACATGATCAAGGTATTTTTTAAATTATCTATTTAAGTTATAATAGCTAATAATTGTACTACTATCTTAGGATAAATGTTGTAGGATTCTTTATTTAATATAAAGTAAACCCGTGGAATTATTTTTATTGGATAGTCATTCAGAAAGAGAAAAAAAAAAAAAAAAAAATGATTTGGATGATAAATAATCGGGAATTTCAGTCATATGCCATATGTTTTTGTTTTTGTCATATGTTTATGTCATTCAGTCATATGTTTATTATGGCTGCCAACGTTTCGACCCAAGCTTGTGAGTCATTGGAACTAATATAGAAATTTAATCATAAATACAAGATAATTATTTTATTGTCTTTTGCTTTTTTTATAGTTGGTACCAAAATCATAGAATGTTATATGCCCCTATCATGGACCATTTAAGATTTTATAGAAAAATATAAAGTATCTTGAAATAATTAAAGCATTAAAGAGAAAAAAAATCTGGTGTGTCCACTCACACGACTTTCCTTCCTATTTCAGAAAAGTTTTTATCTCTTTACATATGTTCATGAAGAAACAATAAAAAAAAAAAAATTGACTTTCCTGAAAATATATATGAAGGAAATAGTGAAGCTTGTATGATGTGGGCAACTGATTTTCATACTTTCACTTAGTTATCTTTTTTCTCTCTCATTCACCCCTCTCTGACTACCAGAATATGAACCTGTAATCTTACATTGGAAATTGGAATTTCATTACCTTTAAAAAAAAAACGGCTAAACAGTGTTTTGTTTTTTTTGGATTCAGGAGGCTCTGAAAAATATAAATCCTTCGAAAATCGCATATAGGAATTTTGACTCTCTCGCAATATTTTCCTTACGTAGTATAGTTAGGAGAGTAATAAATTAAAACATGTGCAGAAAATAGAATGCGCTGTATCATTGCTAATACTGGTTCGATTCCGATGATTTTTTGTTTGTTTTGTTGACAATTTAATTACATTTCAAAAGTTATATTATAAATTTTACCATAGAATATATACTTACCAAATCAGGACCCAAAACATTTTTCTTTTTTTTTATTACTTTTTTTTCTGAATTTTATTGGGAATTTAATTCATTTTCAAACATTAAAAGAACAATTATTAGAACATTATGGGAAAATTTCCTCAAAATCATTAGAGCCATGTTGCGCTACAGTCTATAGAAAAATATATTTTTCATTTATTGCACAGAAGCTATTGCGTATGGAGCACTCAATTTGTGTCACAGGCATCAGTAGTCAAAACCCTACAAAATAAAAAAAGAAGCAACAAAATCGGTTCACTAGTTCCCGAAAAAATCTTGGCGCATACTGATAGACCAATGGCTAAAAATGTGTTTTTTGGACTTCGGGAGCTCTGAAACGTATAGATCCGTCAAAAACCACATATCAGAAATTTGACCCAATCGCAATACTTTCCTTACCTAGTATAGGTAGCAAAGTAAAAAAAAATTAACTCCTATAATATTTTAGAGATAAATTTTCATTGATTGTTTTGAAGGTTATCTTGGGTGATGAATCATTAGAATTTTCGCTCTACATATCTTACATTTTATTTTTTTTAAATTTCTAATTGTCTTAAATTTCTGATTAAATTTTAATTTTAGTCCTGTTGATGACCCATAAGTTTGGGTACAATATTGGCAACTGTAGAATGTTAGTATTTATCATACAAATAATTTTTTCGATTTGAATTTTTTTCTTCTTTTTTGAATGATTATTCAAAAATAATAAACTATAGAGTAATATTTTCAGTACTTTAAGAAATAAAAAAAATTATAACGTTCTTTAACTGATTATGAAAATCATATGAAAATGTTTAATATTTCATTGCTTTTAAAGATTTTCACAATAAGATATTAATAAACTTTATACCTTCAGGGGTAATATTATTTATTTATAAACATTAAAATATTTATGTAAGCGTTTATTGTCTAGGAATATTTACCATTACAGCTTTTTCAGTGTTAAAAGATGTATAGATAGTATATCAAATAATAAATAAAACATATTTATTCTGATATATTCATTTTTTTACTAATATTATTATTTTTAAAAAATTATTTTAGGAAGAAGAGCCAGAATATGAAGAACGAGTCAAAGCTGAAAAGTTCACGGCTCATAATTCTCATTGGCTAGCGATGGTTGAAAATAAAGCGCTCGAAACTTCTTTAGCATCCTTGCCGGACTGCGGAGAGGCTATTCCAAGATATGATCTGAATCAATCACTTTCAGTTTTTAATTCTGGTGAGTATTTTTTGAAAGATTATTCATTCATATACTAATTGTTATCTGCGGCTTCGTTTGGAAATATATATTTTCTGTCATCTAAAATTCAATTTACCCTCATACGAGTCTTAAATTTAAGATAACGATTACTTAATTAATTATAATAACTTCAGTTAGACATTTTAATTTCTTAATAAGAATTTAATTTAAATAAGAATTTTGTAGTATAATAATTTTTACATTTTTTAAAAATAGGGAATAGCAGTATAATAATATTTTAGACATTCAAAGTTTCGAAATAATATGGATTGAACCAGATTATAGAGAAACATGAAAATAAATCTTCAATACAATGTAAAACACATATTTTCAGCAATTTTTAATTTTGTCAACTTAATATCTACAACATCTCAATTACGACGTTTCGGCTCGTTGAGCCATTTTCAAGTCTAAAAGAAATTTTTCAATTTACAATCATATCTAAACTTTACATATTTCAAATTATAAAGATTTTTATATACATAAATACACATCATGTACCTGTCCTTTTCAATTAGGCGAATTGCATGCGTCTACTCATAATAAAATTTTTTATTCTTGTCATTTCAACCTATTAATTATTTTATAACATCATTATTTCTCAATTCTTTATTATTAAATGATTCAAATATGTTAAAATTACCTTATCATGTGTCGCCCACATGTCAAGTCTCATTTCTATTCAGTGACTGGTTATTCTTATAGGAATAGGGGAAGACTATTTATTATAAACATATACAATGATGTTTCCCAATATTATATGCGGACATATTTTAAGTAATATTAGCTAATTTATTTCAAATTTTGATTTTTTCAATTGAACTCGCATAAAATGTATTCATATTACATATAATAGATATTATCCCTGCTAATATTGTTCATTTACAAGAAAGAAAAATCAGACTATTTTTAGCAAAGTTACAGTAAATTGTAATTTGTAAACATATTTTGATTTATTATTTTGAATGTAAATTAATTTCTCCTAATACATATATACATACATAGTTGGCGCAACAACCCATTACCGGGTCTAGGCCTCCTCCAAAAGTCTCCGCCAGTTGGCTCTATCTGTTGCTGCAGCTCTCCAGTTCCTAACGCCGAGGAGATTGCATGCGTCCACTGTGACGGAGTCAGCCCACCTCACATTTGGTCTACCCACTCTTCGCTTGCCATGAAGCTCTTCAGCCAATGTCCTCTTAGAGATCTCGTCCTCCTTCATTCTTGCAATGTGGCCCGCCCATCAAAGTCTCCCAATCTTGATCCACTTGATGATATCAGGATCTTTGTACAGTCTTGAGAGTTCCTGATTCATCCTCCTTATCCAGATGTCTCCCTCTCGAACTGGGCCAAAAATTCTTCTCAATATCTTCCGTTCAAACACCAGAAGGAGGTTTTTGAATACATACCTCCTCATAATACATTGCATTTACACATATTTCCATTTTATATTCTTATTGAACGATATTGTATGTGAATTATTATTATTAACTAGTTTATTCATATTGTTTATCTATAAACATAAATTTTTATTGTTATAGGCTCGCATGTGTCATTATCAACGATGGATGATATTGAAATTGTCTCTAACCATCCTCTATCTGAAGATGGAAGTCAACCAGTTAGCAGGTAATTTATAATTATTTTTCAAATGCATACGTGCTTTATAATAACTAGTATTATTAGGAGAATTCTATTAATGTAAGAAAAAAAGAGGATTACAGAAGATATGTATCAAAAAATCCAAATTGGAAGAGTGCAATATGCATTTATAATCCTAGGTTATTTTTGTACAATAAAATCATCTCGATATCGAATACCTATCGGGAAACGATTTTTCCCGCTATGAATAGATGACTTATTGATAAAATCAAAGGAAAAAAATTGAAGAAAATCAAGACTAGCGGATTAAAATTGTACTTCATAACTAATGTTATTGATATTGTTTATTCATTTATATAATATTTTAATTTAAATTTCAAATTTTAATATAATTTTATATTAACGAACTATAATTGGTCACATTTTGGTGTGGCTCAGTCATATAAAAGAAAGAAAAGAAAAATCAGATATTTCTAATATATTGAATTTCACAATACTTTGACGACTTTGGATAAAAGTGTAAAGGTTCGTTCACTCATAATCTTAAATCTCTAAAAAATCTTCTGCTGTTGCTTTTAAATTTTGACTTAACATTGCGTTAGAATATCCGCATTTTTAAAATTACTTATTCATAAGATAATTTAATCACAAATTGAGAAAAAAACTGACCTACAAAAATATTTGGCCGTTTGACATGATCTTCATCTCAAGATATCAAAATAATAAGATTATATAGGCCAAATGGCTCAATATTTTTGTAGGCCATTTCATTGTTTTTTTTCTTTTTCTATTTTATGATCAAATAAACTTACAATTCAAAGAAAATGGGTATTTATGAGTTTTTAGTAAATAATTAAATTAATCAATTTAATGATAAACGCCCCATTTCTGAGAATTTTCATTGATAAACATTTTTTAGGTTACCATAAGTTGAAGTTTTAGGCAGATGTTAATAATTTTATAAAAATGGGCTGGTACCATGGACTATTGCACTTGATATAAAACATGCTGTTCTTTAAAACAGTACCAATTGTTGGCTGTAAAAGCAACAAAGAGTTTGCTAAATATTTTATGATATGATTTCAATGCCTCCGATCTATTTATGGTTATTTAGTGTGTGTGACATTGGGTGGGAATTGAGCGGTGTCATTTACCGTAGTTCATGAGTGTCAGCTTAAAATTAATTAAATTAAATAATAAAAATTGTAATTTATATTTGCTTTGTTTCCTGGTTTGAAAGTTAATCAAAATCGAAGTATTAAAAAAATATGGTTTCCTCTAAAAATTAATAATCCATCTAAAAATGTGCCCTCTCAAAAATTTCGATGGTGCTATCCTCTTCTGGAGACCCGTGGATAATATAGTTTATTTATTTTTTGAGCTTTACCATTTACATTCAATCATAGATCAATCGATACAGCTCAATTCCACTGCCAGTTGCACTGAAAAATAAGAAAAAAAGTTGAAAAAACAAAATTAAAACATTGAAAATAAATTGTTCTCATTAATAGAATGCTGTAGTTAATTAAACTGCTCAGTTCTAGTGCAATGTTAATGTTAATGTTAGAAATAATTAAATCAAAATATATGAAACTTTAATTCAACAGTGTTATCTGAAACATATAAATGAAATCGTAAAATTAGAAATAAGAAAAATTGAAGTGTAATTGTAAAATATTCAGTATAGTGTTGGCACTGTTCCCTGGCACAACATATTATTTTTTTAAATGATAATATAAATTGGCTAAATGATAATATTTGGCGCCCAAACAGTAACTTGAAAGATGATACCTTTTAATATACAAGTAAAAAAAATATAAGCTTCTATCCTACCTTTTGCCTGAAATGATCATTCCCCTCTCCCCCTATTTCAATTCTCAACTGACCAGCCTAATATTTTAAAAATCTTTACCCATTTTTTAAATTAATGACTTTGGAATGGTAGACAATATTAATTTTACCTATGATTGCATAAACTTACATAATTTACAATAAAACTTCTCTTGTCGTAAGTAAATTTTTTTGGGGCGCAACTTCAGTATATTACTTCTAAATTGGCCAATGCAAAACATTTTTGAACAGATCTGTTCAACAAGTTTATCTTGATTCCTTTCTGTGCCCTAATGCATAGCTTCAGTATTTTTATGCTTCAATAAGTGTTATTAAATACATTACAATCCTGTAATTTTTACCCAGTAATTATAGTAAATGGTTCCATGTTTATTCATGTGTTTATATTGTCTGTGGATTTGTAGAATTTTATTGTGGTCTGACTACACCTTATACTATTTGTAATGCTTGTCTGTATTTTATTCATTCCAGAGTTATTTAGTAATGCGCTACCGTTGATAGACTTCTGTTTCTTCCCTCTATGTTCATGTTAGTAGCTTTCCAGATTACCATGTATTGATGTAGCATGAATTGATGTTTAGTGTTTAGTTCTAATATCATGCTAAATTTTTTTGAAGTTTTTTCTTTGTTTTTATTAGCCTGTTTCTAAGCTAGTGCTTTTAAAGGGCTATTCTCTCGTTTTAGAATAAAAGCTTTGCTTATCCATTTATCCATTATCATCTTTGTTTTTGTATATTATGCTTTAAAGCTGTTCCATTTGAATGATTCTGAGTGTTTTGGAACTATTATGTTGAGGGCGATAAAGCCCATTTCCCAACATGTGGTCTGCAAAATGTTATAAAAAAATTATTTTTGAAGGTATCATAAAAATTTAATACAAAATATTTGTCAAGCCTTAACTTGAAATACAATTAAATTAAATCGAAACAACAATTAAATTGAAACAAATACAATAAAAAAAAAAAAAAAAATTGATTCTTCAAAGTTCAATTGTAGTAAATTTTCAACTTGTTTTCGGAACTAAAGGTGTCAAGCAATTGAAAATTTTATGTTAAAACATAAACATTCTATTAAGTTCATCTGTTTTTGAAGTTACTGTTAAAAAATTCCTCTAAATCTTTGTTTTTTAAGCCACTATATTGAATCAAATAATAAAATATGAATGAATGGCATTTGAATGAAATATGCTTGTGGTTATTCAAGGAATAATATATAATAAATAGTTCCAGAAAGTTTCAGGACATCCTGTCTTGTACATATCGTGGCTATGTAATTGTCAGCAACTATTTATCAGAGAAAACAAATTTTATGATTATTAGGATTTATAGGGTCTTTTCAATCATTATAAATTGGGAGAGAGGGTCCTTAAAAAATTTCTTGTCCAAGTCCTAAAAATCTACTTGGCAAATTAGTTATATATTCAAATTAGAAATGAAAAAAACAAATGTAAGCCAATCCAAATACATCATCCATACGCTTTTGCTTTAGAGTGCTTGCCCATTGTTTAAAAGTGTGTGCCACTACCATAATAGAAATTTATCAGTGCTACCAATTTCATTAACGAAAGTGTGTGTGGTTAATTTTGAATGCATTCTGAAATTATATTGGACTGGATGTGTGACTTCAGTTCAGCTGCCAAACATCTCTCATCTGTACTTTATAAATACATTTTTAAAATATAAAGGAAGGAGATGGTCTGGGGTGGCGGTCATAAATAGGCTAAATAGTGGTAAAACTATTTTATTGAAAGCCGATGTTTCGACCCGACTTTGCAGGTCTTCTTCAGGGCTAGAACGGACAAGATACAAAAAGATAGAGAATTGTGGCAGTTACATAATATTTAGACAAAATTTATGAACAATGTGAATAAGCTTATTAAAATCATGAACAGTAAGTACATTAAAATATGAATAAAGTAAGCTAAGTAACAAGATCCTAAACTGAAGTAAATAGATAATAATAGTAGTGTAATATATAATAAATGAAAATGTGAATATACTTCTACAGATCTACAGGAGAGATTGAAAGAAAAGAAAAAAGGATATAATATGAAATAATAGATATAAAGGAATGTGGAAAAAGAAAAGAAAAAAGAAAACCAAAAATGAAGTAAATAAAATGGAAGAATAAAATTAGAGGTGTGTTCACCTAGGATTGAAATGTTGGCTTTCAATAAAATAGTTTTTCCACTATTTAGCCTATTTATACCGCCACCCTAGACCATCTCCTTCCTTTATAATGCAACGGTCAACTATTAAATATTCAATTTTTAAAATATATTTGAAACTAAATATTTTTATTCATAGACCGCAGGATAAAAAAACAAACTTATTTCTTGGATAAAAGTTTTGAAGCTGGAAACACTATTGTAAACTATAAAGTATAAGATATTCAATGGTATAAACAAGGCACTGTTGGTTCATAACGTAGCCATGTTTATACTCTCTCAATGTAGAATCTGTCTAAGATAAGTTTGCCGCTGGGTAGAGAGGTGGCAAAATATTTCTCCCCTGATCCCCCATTTTTTTATCTTCACGCATTCATACGTACTTATACTATCTTTTTACAAGTTGAAATTTCTTCCACCATTGTTTTTTCATTTCTTTTATGAAATTAGAATTTAGAATTTAGAAGAAAATCAGACATCGCAAAACACGTTCCCAGTTCGAGGTGATTGCTAGATGCATTATACCTTCATCTCCACCATTTTTCTTCAGTGCTAATTATCTTTGTAAATATGTATAAGAAAAAATCAGAATTATTTGTGTTTTTATTGTTATAATATAATCTTCAATGAATAAAATTTGAAAATTCATTCAGTGCCCAACTGAACGAATTTTTTTAGTATTTTTTTTATGTGTGACAGTTTTTTAGCCTACTTTAACATTTTCTTCAGGTCTAATAAAACAATATATGAGTGGTGTAAAAATAAATATTGTAAAAATACATTGTAAAGCAAAGATAAAAAAAATATTATAAAGGAAATCAGGAACTTTTATATTTTAAAACTAATTTGAATACATAATAAAATCATTTATAATTTTTAAAACAAAATTTAAATTATATTTCTTTTAATCTTTTACTCTGCTTTATATTTATTTTTGAAGGAAGTTTATCGACTACATATCATGGATGATAAATATTCAGGATTCAGTCTTTATAAAGTTTTTATTGGTGCCGACGTTTCAACCCAAACATGTGGGTCATCAACAGAGTGTGTTTCGAGCACTGATGATGAACCACATGTTTGGGTTGAAATGTCGGCACTAATAAAAACTTTATAATGTCTCCGTCCTGAATATTTATCACCGATTATATTTATTTTTATTTCCGTTTCTATACTACTCGTATCTTCTTTTTATAGCCTTAAAGAAAGCCTAAAATCATCATTTATTATTTCATCCAATAATGTTTTTTAATTCAATAATATTTACATCATCATCTATTATGTTTATTTTAATTAGTATGCATTATATTTTATTCCAATATTTGTATCCATTGTAATACATCATCACCACCATGGTTAAATAACAACAGTAAATATATTGACTTTTCAGGAAACCAAAAAAGAATTTTATGTTTTACCTTCAATTTCCCTCTCCCATTGTGAATAATATTTTTAGGTACTTTTTGTCTAAGCGGCCGTTTTGAAACCTCACTCCTTATCTATCTTATCTAACGTCATGTCATCATGTCACATAACCTCCCTCTTCTTAACCCGCCAAACTTTTGAGTTATTGCATTGTTTAGTTTTCAGTTATTCCCTTATTACGTACGCTCACTTATTAAATTGTTTACTTTTAGCCCGTTTGTGTTTATTTTTAGTTTTGGGCCCGTTTTGACCATTTGACCATTTCCAAGTGAATCACCGGTATAATTTTGTCGATCCATCAACTGGGGTTCATACTCAACACATAGAACGATTGTGGGGCTCAGCTAAGTGGAGAAATAAAGTACATAGAGGAACTGCCAGACAACACCTCGATTCATATTTGTGCAAATTTTTGTGGCAGCGGGTTCACAGAGAAGAGGACCCGTTCCTCGCTATTTTAAGTAGCATAAAACAATTTTGCCTTCCAAAATAAATAAGACAAAAGGAAGTGAATAATTAACTTAAAATAATTTGTATATACGTTGTTTATAGTGTTGATATTTTTCCTTTTCTAAGTAAATATGTTCTTATAAATTTGTTTTTTTATTATTTCATTAATATATTTGTCGTCAAATAAAAGTATTTTTGTTGTTATTACATTTGTTTTTGTATCTGTTTACACTTTCAATAATACGAATTTAATACAATAATACGAAGATATGAAGTAGGAGAAGGCTTATCACTGCGTTATGGGAATTATCAGTGTTCAGGTTATAAACATTGGCAGATAGCAGTCAGTAGCGGCCGCTTAGACAAAAAGTACCTATTTTTATTTCTGGATCTCTTTACTTCTCTGAGATTTGTGTTTATAAGATTTTTGGGTACTTCTTCACTAGTAGGCCGGTATGGACTGCTATCTGCCAATATTTATAACCTTAGCACTGATAATTCTGATTAGGCAGTGATAAGCCTGTTCGTCACTCCTATCTTTGTATTATTGTATTAGTGTAAACAGAAACAAAAACAAATGTAATAACAAAAAATATACTTTTATTTTACGACACATATATTAATGAAATAATAAAAAAAAAACACTTAAAGAAGATATGTAAATATAAAAGATCAAAATGAAATAATAAAAAAACACTTAAAGAACATATGTACATATAAAAGAAGAAATATCAACACTGTAAACGACATATGTACAATTTATTTTTACTTCATCTTATTTATTTTGGTACGCAAAATATTTTTATGCTATTTAAAATAGTGAGGAACAGGTCCTCTTCTTTGTGAACCCGCCGCCACAAAAATTCGCATAAATATGAATCGAGGTGTTGTCTGGCAGTTTCTCTATGTATTTTATTTCTCCACTTAGCTGAGCCCCATAATCGTTCTATGTGTTGAGTATGAACACCAGTTGACGGATCGACAAAATTATACCGGTGATTCACTTGGAAACGGTCATAGTTTGCTTCGTCCAGTTGTCGGGTGTTGTATCCTTTCCGAATAAACGGTCATTTTGAAAATATTCAATAGCCTGTTCTTCTGAAGATGGTAAATCCCAGAATGTAACAAGATTCATAATTTGACGAAAATAAATTAAAAATAAAATAAAAAATAAACATAAACGGACCAAAAATAAAGAATTTAATAAGTGAACGTAATAAGGGAATAATTGAAAAATAAACAATGTAATATCTGAAAGGTTTGACGGGATAAGAAGTGAGGTTTAGACCCGGCCTGCTAGTGAAGTAGGACCGATTTTTGTTTTACATAAATGCTTCTTGTAAATTAATAAATTTTTTTTTTTTTTTCTTACGCCTGTTGACTTAAAAAAGTTTTCTTCAGCAGCTTGGTGCTGTTATAGGCGACCGTAGTGATCACTTCGAGATATCCAGGGAGCACGTAGTTGGCTATCTGGACGCTATCACATTTCTCTTCCTCTTCATCAGGAACTTTCCTGCAGGATGGTTGGCTATCTTTTTCTGCAATCTAATTCAACCAGAAGCTATGGTTTAAGACATAGGGGTCGCTCACCTCCCTATGAATCTCAGGGTGGGGACGTTACCCTCGCCATGCGGGAATCTAACCCGTGCCGTGGTGGTCTAAGAAATTGAGTAAAGGGCTTGCAATTAATTATTTTTTTTGTGTGTGTATTATTAATTCCTGTGAACGGGATTTGAAATCTTGATATAAAATTTTGCAGACACCTCGACTTGCTCGATCACCGCTGCCCCAAGAAATTTATCAATAATAAATTATTAATAGTAATTATTTGCACAAATGTGATTCTTTTAATTCTTTATTTAAACTTGGTGGTGACAATATTATGGTGATATGCTGATCATTATTTATATTATACTAATTTTGGTCATTTGGTTTTACAGATACGACAGTGAAGGAGAAGATTTTTCTGAAACGACACTTATGATGTCTAAAAGAAGAATAATGAATAATGACGACGTCGTCCGTAACGCTCTTCAGAATCTCATTATTTCTGATGATACTAATGATTCTCACCACTATTTTCATATTGAAACCCCCAACAATCAGGTTTCAATATCCTGAATTTAAATTTATAAAGTTTCAAAGGATAACTTCAAAGAAAACTCAAGTTAAGAAATATTATAAGTTGTATATGTAAATTATTTCTTAACCTCATTTATATTGCAGCTTGGTTTTTCATTAATGAGCGAAGGTATTACTATAGGTGTAATATTATTCTATATTAATTTTTGTTGTTATTAATTTATTCTGTGTTGTTAAACTCTAGTCTTTTCAACTTACGATCTGTTGATACCTGAACTATGTGTAGATTTAAGCATATTACTTGATATATGATTGTTATTTATTTATGTTAATTTATTTCCATTTTTTATGTGTTGTTATTTATAATTTTTTTTTTCTATTTTGTTATTGTTAATTTGTTTTAGATTGCATTAGCTTTCATAAAAATTATTTGAAATTCTGTATTTTAGGGAAAAAATAAAATAATATGATTTATAAGTATTATATATGAATTTAATTTTTCATCCCAGAAATATATCTATGAAAAGAAAAACAGAATTACAAAATAAAACAACAACCCCAAAATGAATCATTTTTAGCAATGATACAATCAATTTCACACATATCGACCTAGGATAAAAAAAAATGTCTTCTTCTTATAATGTATTGACTTCATGTATTTCCCGATTATATTGTCATCTGTTCACTGATCAATATGCTGTGTTAAATAATCACACGAGCCAACTAGTCCTCAGATATATTATTACACTAAGGCTCGAAATCGGATTTTTGCTAAATACAAGCTGTCTTGAAAAATGCCATGAATGGGGTACCATAGGGTTTAGAATTTCATGGGGGGTTTGGGAATTGTACTCTCAGATTTTACTTTCTAAGATAAATTAAAGTCGATATAAACATTTTGCTTGGCTTCAATACTGGAACTGTGGAAAGTCGGTAGATCGATATGGGACAAATTGGGATTTGAAGATTTTGACTCGGTTAGTTCGATTAGAAGATGATTCCAAGCCCAAATATATACTATTTTTGAGATAATGTAAGACAAAGGGTTCGCAGCTACACAAATTCACGTTAATTGTAGTGCTGCTATGCAATACATGTCTCATGTCATCGAATTGAGGTTCCTATGATTGAGAGAGGAGGAGTTTATGTAACTTATCAACGGTGTTTTTTTTGGTATGCCATATCTACTTTAATGCTTCATGAAATCCAACGATTGAGCCATCAATTTGTAGATTTCCTTCTTCTTCAGGTGAGAAAAATAGTCACATCACCCTGAAAATTCAGGCAAAAAAGCTATGAAGGAAAAGAAACTTTATTTGCGATTTGCTCAAAAAGTAAACACTTCTATGTTGTTTACATCTATGATTGTTTAAAAGATTATTGAATTCCCTACAACAATGGAGGATGGGGGTCCAACTTCACAGGGGTTCAGATTATTAATGCAAATTCGCCTCGGGAAAATACGTGATCAAGGTTGAAAATAAAATTGTAAAATTCACTCCACAATTTGTGTGCAAAATGTGTAATATTAGAGAAAAATAGAGACTTTATCAAACATTATTGAAATGCCCAATATACAATAGTTTAAGAGTAAGAATTTACCAGGGTATGCGTAATCTTAATGGGATGGAAATATTCGAGCCAACTACTATAGAAGATATGAGATTATATGTTTTCTAATTTAATATATCAAACTATAAAGAATTAGTGGGGTAATCAGGAATGGTGTCCTTTGAATATTATTTGTTTGTTATCTTTGTTCATGCAAGTAATCTTTTGATTGAATTTTAAATCATAGTTTATTATTTATATTTAAAAAAAAAAAATGTATTTATTGTTTTTATAGATATTGTGTATTTGTTTTGACGGAATTTTATATAATTGTTAATAATTGGCGTTATTTTAACTGTCTGACTTTTTATCAAATATGTTTTTTAAGGCATTCTTGTAGTAAAATTGTTATAAAATTGGTAATGTAGTATATAACTGAAAAAAAAGAAAGAAATAATTATGTTTGTTGTACAAAGAAAGACTATTTCCTGGAAATAAATAAATATTAAAAATAAATAAAATAAAATAATGCCCTAAATCAAAACTGTTGGTGCTGAGTGGACACAAAATTTGATGCTCTACAACTTTGATTAGATGGGTTTTTCCTCTTAGGAAACGCATTTCCAAGCTACAGGGCCATTTATATTAATTTGTCTCAGTTTTTGACAAATTCAGTAGAACTTCGAAAAAGGTAGAAATTCTTTATCTTTTTGATCTATCGAGTTTTTAAACCTCACAATTTTTTTTCAATAACTTTTATTATAGTTTTAGTAAAGTTTCAAGTCTTGAAATTTTCATTCATCATTTTACCATGATGTTCCTTTTCGTTTGATACCTCATTCATTAAATCCATCATTCCCGAGAGCCACCAGCGGATCCAGGATTTCATTTAGGGGGAGGGGTTTCAGCCCAAAAGGTTTTTTTTTTTTTTTCAAATATAATAGTCTGTGGTACAGACCTCTTTTTATCGAATTATTAACATCTGCCTGAAACTTCGTAAATAGTTTCATCTCATCGTAACCTACAACTATTTTATTTACGAAAAATCTTGAAATTGGGCATTTTCATTCTGGAGATCTGGACTCGTAACTCGTAAACACACATTTGCTTCCTACTTTGAACGTAAGATAAATTTATCACAAAATTGATAAAAAAGGTGACCTTCAAAAATATTGAGCCGTTTGGCGTGACCCACACCCCCAATTATTCAAAATAAGGAGATTATATATGATAAACGGCCCAATATTTTTGTAATCCACCTTTTTTTTATCGATTTTGTGATAAATTTATCTTACAATACAAATAGAAAGCAAATGAGTATTTACGAATTTCTAGTACCTAATTAAGTAGACAAAGTTTGCCCCCTTCCAGATTGAAAACGTCCCTATTCCAAGAGTTTTCGTAAATAAAATAGTTATAGATTACGAGGAGATGAAACTATTTACGAAGTTTCAGGCAGATGTTAATAATTCGATAAAAAGGGGTCTGTACGTATAATGATAATTTCTTTGGAAGAAAAAGAAAGAAACTAACTACGTATACGAAATGGTGTTTAAGTGATTCTTGAAGTCTTATTAAATATAATCACACGAACAATAATACTTTAAGAGATAAGTTTATAATATTCTTTTCCATAAAATATGGTTATATTTTACCATTTTGGAGAGAGAGGCTTCAGCGCAAAAGCTCCCTTCTCTCCATAAATACACTTGTGCTGAGAGCTGTAAAAATGGATCTATATTACCGTACTATATATTTAGTGTTGATAGATTATCTTATCTCCTTTAAATACTAAACAAGCGTGAAACTACACGCATTACACTTTCCCAAAATAAAAGAAGAAACATGTTAATACATATGATAATTGCGCCCCCCCCCTTATTACCTAATAGACTTGTTCTCATTCTCGCAGTATTTCACTTAGGACCCGATCCTTTTGTATAGTTCGAGAAAACAACACTGCTTCACGTGCTCAGAAAATGCAGTTGAGTCGGTTATTTTGAAACAATGCTGTTGGTAAATCAGCTGTTATATATCCAAAGGTGTAGGAGAGCTGCGAAGAATACTGCCACTTCCTTGTCACGAATCTAGGAACAGTTTAACGAGAGCCTTCCAGCACGAAAATACATTTATAATTCATTTATATAATCATTTTTATTACTATTTCATTGAATGTTCTGTAAGATGAAAGTATTTAGGAGTATATAATATAATTTGAAGTCGTAACAGCAAGGAATAGTCTTGAAAAAAATATGGATATATGGACTTATAATACGTTTCACATAATTCTGTCTGTCTATAATTACATCAATGTGATATCAATATCACCTACCGCTTTTTGCTTTCACCTACATATAAATAACATATACTAGGTAAGGAAAGTATTGCAATCTGGTCAAATTTTCGACGGATCTATAAGTTTCAGAGCCCCCTGAGTCCGAAAAACACATTTTTAGTCATTGGTCTGTCTGTCTGTGCCAAGATTTTCTCGGGAACTACAGAACCGATTTTGTTGCTTCCTTTTTTATTTTGTAGGGTTTTGACTACCGATGCCTGTGACAGAAATTCGGTGCTCCAATCGCAATAGCTTGAGCGCAATAAATGGAAAAACAAGTTTTTCTATAGACTGTAGCGGGAAAACGGCTCTAACGATTTTGATGAAATTTTCCTATAATGTTCTAATCTTTGTCCTTTCATTTTTCGTAAATATACTAAATTCCCGAAAAAATTCAGGAAAAAAAGTTTTTGATCAGCGATATCAGTGAGTATTGAAATTTTTACACTGATCTCCCATAAGCCGGTTTACATTGCTTTAGTTTATCAAATAAATTGTACTCAAATCTTTTCTTTGATCAATTTTCAGGAATATATATCTAGTTCAATTCTTTTTTTGTTTCTTCATGAACATATGTAAAGATATAAAAACTTTTCTGAAATTTTTTGTTCGATCACAATGGTTCATTATTGAAAATAATAAACCAAAAATATATTTAAAAATCTCGATACCTTCACTAATAGTGCTTTGATTTCGATAAAACTTTCTTCAATTTTTAGGAAATGTAAATACCTTTGAAACATCTTATCACATTATCGAGAAAAAAGTGTATAATTTTTGAGTTATTCTGATTCTAATTTTACCATCCCTCTCAACTTTTTTCCCAGCTTCTTTTCGTTGAAGTATGTTATATAAATAAATTTAAAGGACATCGAGAAGAAGACTTTAGCGAAGTTTCATTGAAATTGGTATATTCGTTTAAGCGCTACAGTCTATAGCAACACAGGTTTTTCGGTCGCCATTTTGAAAGGAAATGGCGGATAGAAATATCGATGAAGGAGGATCATCCTCGGGTGACCTCTAATTTTATATCCAAATTTGAAAAAAATCGGTCCAGTAGTTTCAGAGAAAATGCGCGGACAGCGGACGGACAAAAAAACTTTGTATTCGTTTTTCGAATTTATCCTTGGATGTTAAAAACTCGAATTTTGAGGGAGGGTTAAGTTTTTGAATTTTTTGTTCAATCAAAATGGTTCATTATTGAAAATAATAAACCACAAATAGTAATAAATAGTAAGGCAAACTATTAGGATCGTGAAAATGATTTCAGATTTCAACGGAAATACATGCTTTGAGGTTCCCTGAGTCGAAATAATCAAGTCCCGCAAAATGGTCTGTGTCTGTGTGTGTGATCAGTCTACTTCAAAAACGAAAAGTTGAACGAAACTTTGAAGTCGAAATTTTTATTTTAAACAAATTTAAGGTTTGTATATGGTTCCGGTTTGAAAGCAACT